CATGATTACCTGGGGAGGCAAGGCTTGTCGTATCCTTGTCCATTCATTCTCATTGGGAGAAAGCAGACTGAAGATTTGGATAAGGAGAGCAGTGTCTTGGTTGGAGTCTGCAATCAGTGCCTCTACCAGGCCTTCCATAGCCACAATAAGAACCTGAAGACTGAACAGTTTAGATTGTCAATTAGTTTATGTTTTAACTACTTATGTACAAGTAGATCCTTGTAAATGCAGTTTCTTCAAACCTTTTATTGTCCAATTTGACAGTGAGTAATTGGTTCTTCACCCAAAGTACAGCACTCTGCAAGAAGCCATTTTCCCTGATCTCATGTTTAGAGAACTGGACGAATGATTGAACACCAGCGACAAACACTTTTTTGAGTTTAACTACAAGAGAGTCTTTAAAAAGCAAAACATTCACAATTAGTCCTTTGAATTACTTACTGTAAAATGTGTAAGTGCTTGATAAAACAAAACCCACCAGGGAGATGAGTATGCGTTTGATCTTGAGCAGTTAGCTTGAAGACGGTGAATAGTAGTTCTTCAGCTGATTCGAGCAGGAGACAGTCTTGTACAGAGGAGAAAAACGTCAAGGCCACGTCACAAACAAATGAAATGAGTGGCTCCATGTTGCCGGCATCGGAGAGACTCTTGGTTTCAGACAAAGTGTTGTGCAACCTCTCAAGAATCTTTTCCATGTACACCTCTCCAATCAAGGGAACTGGGATAACGAGACAAGTGTGCTATTCATAATCAAGTAAAATGCAGAAAATGAAAGAGTCAAATGTGTCTCAAACTACCATTGTCGTGGTGCTGTGATAAGACCAGGCTAATGAGTGTCCAACTGTCGCTGCTGGGTGAAGTGTTTGATGGTGTGGGTTGGACCTTGCAGAGTTCCTCAGTCAACTCTAAAAGAGTCTCACCCAGCACTGAGCCTTTGAGCCATTCATCACAGTCTTTAAGAGTTTCTGGATCTACACAAGCCTGTACAGAAGAGACATTTTAAATGAAGAATTCAGTATAAATATGAGATTGTATCAGAGCTGTGGGCGCACTCAAAAATAATGGCTGATGACTTGAGATTTTAGTGTGTGACTTGTGACTTGTAGTTCAGGCAGGACTCTGATTGTGGCTCAAGGATATAGACATGGACTTGACTAGTTATAGCTCTTAAGTCCTTATACTGCCTACCTCTGTATATCTGCTTTTAAAATTAAGTAAAAAAAATTGTTAAAAAACAGTTAGAACAAAAGTGCTTCTTAATGGACTGGACTTGAGACTTGGTACTTTGTTTTAAGTGATAATGACTGAACTTGGACTTGACTGCAACCCTAGATTACGAACCATAGAACTTACCCTCTGTATAAATTGAAGAGTAATACCCCACGGTAAATTCATCTAAGAACACATTAAAACAAAAACATGTGAGTTATATAAAGAAAAACACATTATACACACATGAAGCAGAGTGAGAAAGATCGTTACAATGGTGATTTGGTTGAGGATGCGGGTGGTCTCCTGCTGACTGCAGCATTGAAGTGAACTGAAAACCATCTCCACAAGATGCTGAGTGTCTGCCCGACCCTCCTCTGACAGCCACACCACCACCCGCTCTAACAGGAAATGCATGGCTGGGTTCTTTATGTTCACTGAGTGCTTAGTCTTATTATCTTGTACTTCTTCCTTGTCTAATTCAATCAATGCCTGGTAAAATACATACAAGTATTAAAAAGTATGCTTTAAGTGGCATTATTTCCAAAATAACTTAACAATATGTATCAGCACAGTATAAAGCTTCATTCAGTATCTTTCAAACAAAGTGACAACTCACAGTAAAGACTTTAGGTGTGTGGAAGGACCGCAGAAGGCGCGATAGAAAAACAAGATGTCTCTCAGAGTGTTTTTCATTGACATGTACCAGGCACAGTTGAGCAAGCTGGCACACTACATCCTCAAAATACTGCGTCTGCAGGGGTTCACACGACTTGTCTCCGCTTTGTGCTGGCCCCGTCTTCACATACCCATCAGAACCATCTCCCTCAACAGTTTCTTCTTCATCTACTGAACTGGAGAAACAAATCTTGACAGATTTCTTCTTCTGTGTTTTCTTTCTGCTCACTTTTTCAGGGTACCGCATTACCTTTAGAGGGACAACAGTTTATTTTCACTTTTGTTGAAAGAGGAGTTACATCATCAGCTCCAAGTTTGTCTAAGCTGTTAGCTGTACATACCTGCAACAAAGTGGCCATTCCTTCAAAAGCCCCTGGGTCAGTTTCCTCACTGTCAACATAACGCACAAAGAGCAAGGCCAGTCCCTCCCAAAAGTCAGTCACAAGTTCTTTAAAGACATCACTGTTGTCGTGAGATTCAGCGATGCTGTGTAGTCCTGCTTGCTTTTCCCAGGAGACAAGCATTTCAGTGACTAAAAGGAAAAGAGGGCCTTTCTGAAGAAGTGGACTTGCAAGAGCTGTTTCCAGCAATGGCAGAAGCTGCAACATTAGAAACAATAGATGTTACATTCTGTAAGTCATTTTATTATTTGTATTTATTATGAAAAAGCACAGATAACTAACTAGTCTGACCTGTTGTGATACAAGCATGGTCACAAGATTTTTCTGGTGCTCATTTACTTGTGCATTCTGTGAAATGCAGTATCTCAAACATTCCACAGCTGAGGTTACAATTACTGCACTTTCTGAGGAACTTGATGCAGCACGCTTACTGGAGAGACTGAAACAAGTTATTGGAATGATTCAACTGTTCTATCTCCCATAAGATTTGAGGAAAATGCATATTTAGCAACTATACCCATTGAGGAGTGATGTGAAAAAGGTGGATAAAAAGTCGATTTGTGGGTCAGTAATGTCTTCAGGGAGTTTACTGAGAAGTGGCATTAGATTTGGATGAAGTGCTTTAGCCAGGCCTTTTCCACCTTCTTTTAACAGTGTCCACAATTTAGGCAAGAAGCCCTTCTTTGCATTTACATGTGTCCAGCAGTCCTTGCACAGAATAGAAAACACAGCAAATGTAATCATATTCCTATACACAATACTATAACATGCATGCTATCTAGAATGCTCTTACAGGAATGGTGGACACCACATGGAGAACTGCCTCCCACACAGGAGCGAGCACTAAAGGATCGGCATCATCGATGTTTAAGAGAACGGCAGGACATAGCCGAGCAGCTTCAGCCTGGGCCAGGGCAGGGGTCAACTCACACAGGGCACAAACCAGCACAAAAAAGGCTCCTCGCACCTGTACATGATAACAATAAATATACTTCCAATGTAATAAATCTGTTAAGACACTTTAGTTTCATATCAATTACCTGGGGTGTTTTGTGTTTGCTATACTTCCAGAATTTCCCAGAACTAATTAAATCTGCTAGTTTAGTTTCTAAAGTTGTCCTGTCAGCTTGTGGTAATAGAGATAGGAGTCTTTTCACACCAAGAAGAGAACTGGTCAGCATGCGCACATATTTAGTTTCTCTTTCTTCATCAGTCACAGTTCTGAAAAGTAGATGTCATTTATTATTGTAACCTTAAAATCTAGGCCAAAAGATATCAAACCAGAAATTTGTCTAGGGGTTACTTACTGTGGGTCACTTAAAGTGTTTGCAGTCTCCTTTAACAGAATGTCTTGAAGTACCTAAAATAGTAAAAGGTAGAAACAGTTTAGGGATTTACCTTTTTCACTCCAGTGACCAGTGACTCCAGTCATTTCATATTCTTACACTGAGAATCTCTTCCTTGCAAAAGCTTAGAGCCTCCGGTTGTTTTGTAGGTGAGAAAGCAGCCTGGAAAGCCCGCCAAGCTGCTGATGCTGCAGGTGTGTATGTGTCACATTGAGACAAAATCCAGTGTCCCATCAAACTTTTCAAAAAAGGAGCCAAGTTGCGTCGTACTTTCAACACCAGTTGCTCAAACGCAATTTGAGTTGCTTCTCTTATTCGCCGATCATAATCCTGACAAAATGTGAGTAAACATTTTCTTTTTGACACTTCGACGTTATTGAGGTTTGAGTGAGCTGTTGTGTATCTTACCACTGATATTTTGCAGTATATTCTTGGCCAATATGGCAAAACCCCTTTGACATCTTCAGCCTCACGTTCCTGGCACATGGCTCCAAAGTCTTGCACCGCCTGAGACAAGATCCCACCGTTTAAGTTCATCAATGACTTGATCAAAACAAAGATGCCCTAAAAGTGTAATAGCCTAATTTTCCCACCTTTAATCTCGTGACATTGTCTCTTTTGGAGAGTTTTCGAAGCACCAGGCGAAAATCAGCATCCACTAGACTGTCAATCTCCTCAGCACCGTGGACAGCTGGGACATAACTGAGCTCAGAAGTCACCGTCGTGTCAAAGCCCACAAACCCGGGAATGACGCCACCTTCACGGGCAAGGACCTCGGCTGCACGACCGCTGCTAGACGGCTGATGGAAAATTAAAGTGTGCTGTAAAACCTCTGCACATTTGGAAATAAGTACTGCATTTGTACAGTTATTGAACAGCTATGTAGATTCCAACTGCACACACGCTTTCGTAGCAGCGCATGTTAGCAACAAAGAGTGGCAAGTACTCTTTACTCTTTACTATAATAAACCATCTCAACTATACTTACCCGAACATTTCCTTTAGTTCGCTGTTTATTCTTACCCCCCATTATAAAGTCTATACATGTAAAAGTGTGTTTTACTCTAATGCTAATAACAGGAGACACAAGAGTTTGTAGTCGGTAAACAGGAGCAATCCACTTCCTTGTTCCTGTGTCGGTCTTTCAAAATAATAAAATAAAATGGCAAATTGCGTAATTTTGCATATGTGTCGAGCAATACGCAGTTAGTAATCTAATTATAACGTATTATTTATGGTTGACAGCGACAAGCAGGTACTAGTTACGTATGCAGGCCAATAGAGGATATTACTATCCTTTTATTTTGAAATATAGATATATTTATTAAGGGGGAAAAAAAAGAAAGAAAATCTGAGAATAGCCGTATCAATTAGTAATCAAAAATGTTTAATACAACTTGTTATTGACATCCTTTAACAGAACGTGTATAGATTAACATCACATTTTAGAGTAGTATCATAGACAGTCTATGGGTAAAATAACGTATTCCATTATAAATACACTGCATTTGTACAATAATGGCTTTTGGTATGGAGGTAAAGTGTGTCTAAAGCTGAAAATAGTCGGTAGATTTACTGTAAACAAATTATTCATACATAATTCAGTTGTGTAAACATATTTAGTGATTTAGCTTTAACTGGAATGAACTGGAATAACTACTGTCAATAATTACAACTGAAATATAATAGAAATAAGCAAAAAACATGCATTTGCACTTCTTTTGTTTGCAATGTGGAACCTCAAAAAGCATTTGAGCATAGATATCATCATGTTCAGGGTTCTCAGAAACTGCAAAAATAAACTCCTAAAAAACTATGATGTCAAAGACGTCTTTTCAGTGATAGTTTTTGCAACCTTATCAAGTACCGTGTCAGAATTTGAAACTTATTAACTCATATGTAACGCATATGGTAATAAACAACTACAGATAAAATGAATCAATAAAAAATAGGCCCCCCTTTCAACACATTTAATTTTTTCGGTCATTGTGTCTAGTCAAAGTAGTCAAGTTAATCTATCGTTTGTTTTTTCATGAACAAATTTTGGAAGATACCTTATATATATATATATATAAAAGAAATTTCAACCATTTTAACAGTTGAGGTTTTATCACTGTCCATTATCTCCCAAACTAATGCTAGTGCTTTAGTTTAGAAATGCTACATTATCCCAAGTACATGTTACATAGCATTTCTTGCTTTGTCAAGTAACCAACCAGTTATAATAATATTTAGTGAAACCAAGCTGTCAGGTTTAAGAAAACCAACAGGCAGGTCCCACATCATCCCAGCTGGATGTCATCTTCTGGGTTAAGTATTTGGCTGGGTACTGTGGTGTACCTTGGGTCCAATTTGGGAACAAAACCATTCATATCCCGGGAAGCTTGAGTTCCAAACACATCCAACACTTGGCGATTCATCAAAGCAAACCTAGAATCAATCACCGATGTCAATAATTATAACAACATAACAAATAAAAATAATTATACAATACAATACAATACAATACAAGACATCCATACCTCCCTTTTGTCAAACGAAGCAAAAACTTCCAGTACGATGGCCTGAGGTTCTGTACTTCCATAACAGCCTTTAAAGAGAAGATAATTAGTAAAGATATATAGAAAGGTCATTTTGACAGATAAGGTGTCTATTACCGCTTGGAAACAGATGGCTGTGGAGACTGCGTATAAAATTGTATCTGCATGTGGAAAGTAAGGGAACCGGCCTGCCTCAATGCCCTTGAAGTACATGGTCTGGTGGCAGAAAAAGGTATGGTTTATGATCAACTGTTTAAATATTTAAAATATTAATAAGTCTTCAATTTACCTCAACCAGCTTTGAGAAGAGGTACATTGATATTGTTGTGCTCTTGTAAAAGAACATAGACATTCCAGCCAAAAACCCTCAAGTGCAGCAAAATAAAGGAAAATTTAATATATGTATATATATTGGAGTATGTAGTTTTTCAGTGATCATAATTTAGTTAAGTTGACCTTACCCGCTATTAGAGCATGAAGCTCATCATCAATATTACGTAACCAGCGTAACAGGCAACTTGTTCCCTGAAAGTGCGCAAAAGCATATGACAATGATAAAAATAACATAGCTCACACAAATGTTGATATAAATTAAAACTTAAAGAAGACTTGAAGGTAAAAGATACCTTGTAAATACTAACAAAAGAGCCAAGAAAAGCTCCAAGCTGAAAGTTTTCTTTGTTGTAGAAAAGAGATGGTAGACGTGATGGTTTTGAGAACAACTGTCTGAAGGCGGAGGGCACTTTTAAACAACACTGAATCAAATATCCAACGCTGAACATCCTAATGAAACCCTGGAGTGACACAGAAAAAATATATATTACGTATTTTTTGTTTTCTCCCCAAGGTGATATTCGTAACCTTACTTTGACACAATAGGAGATGCAGTTATCATGATGATGCTTGCAACATCTGTGTCTTGGGCCTTGTTTGCATCTGTAGAAGCCCAATCATAAGACAATCTTTAAGTCCTAATAATTAAAACATTTTGACATGGTGTGTCTTCTTACAATAATTCTAGTAGTTCTCTTGTATAGGTGACCAGATTTCTCCTCCTGGAGATGGCTCTTCGTGCTGACACCGGTGGATCCACTGCTTCTATGGCAGCTGGCCTTTCTTGGGGTCTTGGGTGACTGTCATCACCTGTGGCTGGATTTGATGGGATCTCCTCCTTCCCAATGATGAATCTAACATATAAACACTTCTGTTTGCTTTGTCATCAATTAACGTAGTTTTGGGCTCAAATTTTGGGCTAACTCAAGCTGAGTTAGGTAAAATTACATTGGAGATTGCATAGAAACGGCATGTGAAACAAACTGTGATGAAATAATGTACGAATGAATATTTTTATGAAATATAATTATCTATATCGATATATAACATTAATATAAACTCACTTTAATGCTGAAAAGGCAAAGCCTTTAAGACCATCTTTCCTCCTACAGACAGAAAAAATACCTAATGGTTGTTTGTATAAAACTTTTTTAAAAGTACATGAAGAACATTTTTCTGTTTCTGACCTGAAGAAGAACATATACAGAGATGCCGTTATGCAGAACAAAAGCACCTAAACAAACAAACACAAAATTTCAAATAAAGTGAATTTTGTCTTCTTAATAAAACAACTACAATGTGCAAAATGTGCTTTCCAGTAATAAATGGTTCACAGAAACTGAAGGGCTTTTGTACTTACTTCTCCATGTTTGATGGGTTTGACAATGCCTCTAGTTACTGCCATGCGAAACAGTGTCTCAGTAGCCTGGTCATAAGAAAACATTATTACATTCTGCAAACCAATTTTAGGAAAAAAATAACAGAAAGGGCTTACAAGATTTGCCATGTATATTGTCAGAAGTCCTCTCCTGAATGGAAAGAGTTAGAAAACCATTTATGAAAAATATAAACATACTATTAAAAAAAAAAATCATACAACAAGGATGTCACCTGCTCTTACGCTCTAGGAGAATGGCAATGTATGAGGCAGGTAGAGCTGAGCCAAAACCTGCTGACCATGAGTAAAAACCACCCAACAATTTCCTAAAGCAGAAGACGGATATTTTCAAGTTTATTTTAAGTTTAGCCTAAAGAAGGTGTTAAAAAGTCTTTACAGCAACATTGCACTTTGACTATCTGCATTGTATTTACGCAGTTATTTTTAATAATGATGCACTAGTTCTTACCTGAGAATGCAAAAGAAGACTATATAGAGACCTCCATTAGCAGTGAGGAAAGAGGTAGATTGCAGTATCTCTGGAATAAGTCTTTTATAATAGTAATCCTTTTTCCTTCTCCTCAACAAAGCTGCTATCTGAAAAAAACAACCATATCAACAACAACCAGCTAGTTGAAAACTTTAGTACATCAGGCGTATTGTGCTTATTGCCAGTGAAAATACATTATTTTGTTAGTAACATCAGAACCCAGTGTGAACTTGAACTCGCTGGCGTATCCAAAGTGCAGGCTTGACTTGTCAGCTAGCTAATCTTTAACATAACATGGTTTGGTGTAGTTGTCCTGCCTAATGAGAGTTAGCTCGCTTTGCTAACCATAGTATCCAATTGAGTTATTCTTGGAAATGCAAAACTTACCAAGTAAAGCGGGGCGTATATTTTAAAGGAGACCTCCAATGCTCCCCTTGTTACATCCACCGCGGAACGCACACAAGACGGGTCCCAAGTGTGGCCAATTTCATAGCAGTTGTGCGGTATCTTGCTGAAAGCAGCCATGACTATAGACTGCGAGAGAGGACCGCGGGGGCGCGCTTCTGTGCGCGTTCACATACTGAAGAGAGGACGAGACACCCACACGTTTGCACGAAGTAAACGATCCAAGAGCCATGGTTACACACGCGTAAGAAATGTGAAAATAGTTCATTGTTCATTTTATTTATTTACTTTTGCTCATTTATATTGTTAGGGTGGGCAGAGGAAGTTTACCTACCTAGGCCTTTACACTTGATTAGCACAATTATAAATTAGTTTGTTAGTTATTGTGATAAATGTCTTACAAACATTACATCATACATATCCATTGATTAAAACACAAAATAACTATCGTAGCATGGCTTAATTGCAGACGCTTGGCGGCAGATGTCAGTCTAATGCTTTGGTCAAAGCAGCATCCATAACAAGAAAAATCAGGTTTGTCTAACACTGAAATTGATACTTGTTTAAAATGAATGAATGTTTGTCTCCTCTTGTCTACTACGGTGATGGAGGCCAACCATCCTTGTGTGTCTCTGGAGAAAAACGAGCAACAATTAAAGGTGCTGCCTCAATTTTGAACAAGTACAACGATTATTTTAATTTCCCATGGGGTATTCAGGAAACATATCCTACAACAATTAGCACCAGAAGATTGAGCGGTTATTATCCCTTGTCGTCTGATCCCACTGGAGGCGGTCGTCGCTGTGAATGGACCGACTGTTTTGCTTAGTTTCATAAGTGCCGTGGGTTGCCGTTTTGTCGTTACGCGCAACCCTACTCCATTTACGCGCAACCCTGCTCCATTTACGCATGGGGAAGTTAACGGGAGTTGTTGTGTTTTCTTCCTCTTGAGTGTGGTCATCTTGGGGCACATTCCTATGAAATATGGCAGTGACAGTGATGGTCTTACGGGCTTGTTTGCTATTTCAGCTCGTGTGCGCAGCGGCGGGACAGAGCAGCAGGGAGAGGGTGTACTATGTGGGGATCGTGGAGGACTATTGGGATTATGCGCCAAGTGGAAAAACCTGCTTAATGGTCAGGATATCGACAGTGACGAGTAAGTTGTGAATAAGTTTTCTTTTATTGCCTCAACTTGAACTTAATTTGAAAAGAGTTTTCCTGCCTAAATAAACCTTTATTGGTAGCTCATGTTATAGAAATAGATCACCTCAAATCAGCTAGACCTTAGACCATTTTATGATTGCTTGCAGACTATAATACAACATAATATTCGGTTTCAGATATATCGGTGGCTACAAATAACCGAGATTACATATAGTCATCATTACTTTTTTTTTACACCGTTTGTTAAGACCAAAGTTGCAATTGAACTTTGAGACTTTTACAATTTGTCATGGCCACTGTGATTACTCATTTGTACAACATTGTGTAAATTCAGCGTCTACACATTTCTTTATTTCCGGGACATAAACTTGGCCACACTTCATACATACATTATACTTTAGTTATAACGAAGGCATACGGATAATAGATAACATACTTTAATGTTAGATATACTGTGAAATGTAGATAGTAGATATTAATGTTGTATATATATAAATATTTGCCACATGTCCTTGTCTTGCCTGCCAACACTGAATGAACTGTGTTGTCCCTCCTGTCAGTTCAGCACTTTGCTCCGGTAGCAGGTCATTAGACAGCACAGCCTGTAATCTATTGTCTAATTGTCACACAGATTGGACGTGATGCAATTTGTTGTACACCTTCACTATATAATTTAAAAGATCATTATACAACCACATTCCCAAAAAAGTGTGACTATGTAAATACAAAATATAAAGTAAGAATTATAGTATATATAATAGTATAGTAAAGTATAGTGTAGTATAGTATATGTTTAAAGGGACAATAATATCCGTGTGACTACTAGAAGTATTCCTCATCCATGCAAAGATTCAGTATAGAATAATATTACAGGATAGCAATAATTGTTCTATATATTCAAATGTAGCTGCTATGAGGCATTGCAGATATGGAGAAGGTACATTTTATTGTTCTTTATATGTGATATATCTATCTTACATATTTTTGTGTCTTAGGTCTGCATCTATATTTCTCACAGCAGCTCCTGATCGTATAGGCAAAGTTTATAAGAAGGCTATGTACCGGGAGTTCACTGACGGCACATTTAAACAGCTCGCTCCTCGTCCTCCATGGCTGGGCTATCTGGGTCCTGTACTGAGAGCTGAAGTGGGTGACATGGTGGTGGTGAATCTGAAGAACTTTGCAACAATGAACTACTCAATTCACCCGCATGGAGTCTTCTATGAGAAAGATGCTGAAGGTGTATGTTTTTATTGATTATACTACTTTGATTACTTTGATTTACTACATTAAGTGGCACAGATGTATGTCAGTAAAACTGACCAAACTATGTAAATGACATTTTTTAAATTTTTCTGAGAAACATTTTTAACAACAGCAGGTCTCCTTTATTTAGGCCATATCATGCTTTACAAAATTTCACAGTTCCAAATTTTCCAAATTTTAGTAAAGTTTAGTAAGTGAGACTAAAGAGTTGCTTCCTTTTTTAAGGAGGAAATCAACACAGAAAGGAACAGGGAGTCTTTGTGGGACAAAGGTCTTGTGCAACTACCAGAGAATTTAAGGTCATATAGAAGCCAGAAATAGTAAGAGGTGTTTTTAAACGCTTTTATTCACCTACATTTTTTATATAATTGTAATCAGAATCATAATATAAGTTGTGAAAGCCACTACAATTTTTAGTATTTAAAGTCAGAATAATATAAACATATAAAGTTGCCTGTTGCCTAGTTGAAGTATATGACTCAGGTTGTAGCAGGAAGAAGGCAACAGCACAACTGCACAGTGCTGTCTTTTTATCAGAAAGAAATAGTATATTGCAATTTAACCTGAGGGTCAGGAGTCCCATGGGAGTTGTGGAATGATTTTGGGGATGAAGTGATAAATGACTGGCCTACCAGATCAATACACCTAAGACCGAAAATAAAGTAAAACATTAGACAAAATAGGCTACTTTATCATCTACTTTATCATTGGGGTTTGCGAATGTCAACCATTGTTATCGTGGGGGTTGTGACTGATGAGACCCACTAGTGTGTTGGACATACTTTATTTCAGTTGGTTTAATAAAATGGATTTTATGTGACCAAGATTTTCATTTTACATTATAGCTGTAGTATAATAATTAGTGGTATGGTTTTCAGGGGCATTTTATCCAGATGGTTCTTCTGGAAGGTTGAAGGAAGATGACATGGTGCCCCCTGGAGGCAGTTACACCTATCGCTGGGAGGTCAGACCTGAGTTTGCGCCTACAGACGAAGATGCTAACTGCCTGACTTGGGTTTACCACTCTCACATAGATGCTCCCAAAGAAATTAACTCAGGATTGATCGGAGCTCTTCTCACCTGTAAGAAAGGTATGATACAATGATAAAGGACAACCCTGTAATTTACTAATAATAACATTACAAAGTTTCTTCAATCTTATAGGAATCTTAAAAGATGATATGTCCCGGAGTGATGCCGACCAGGATGTTATTTTAATGTTCCATATTGTGGATGAAAATAATAGCTGGTACCTAAAGAACAACATGCTCAATCTAACTGAACCACCAGATGTAAAGGATGAAGACTTTATTGAGTCCAACTTGATGCATGGTGAGCATTGTAGTTATGAGTTTTAACTTAAATAGAGCTTAATAACTGAAAATTCACCTTTACTTTTCTCTTTCTCCAATCACAGCCATTAATGGTTATATGTTTGGTAACTTGCCCACTATCGATTTGTGCCAGCACCGGACAGTGGCTTGGCATCTTTTTGGAATGGGCAATGAGAAGGACATCCACTCTGTCTTCTTCCATGGAAACACAGTTCTGGACCGTGGACATCGAACAGATGTCCTCAGTCTGTTTCCTGCCACTTTTGCAGCAGCTGAGATGGTCCCTAAGGCCAGAGGAAAGTGGCTTCTGGCTTGCCAGGTTAATGACCACTTGCAGGGTAGGGCACATCACCTTTGACTTTAGTGTGACCTCTGAATTCTTCACTAGTGGTTGGCCTTTGTTTGTTCTTAGACTGAAACTGTTGTGCTGACTTGTTAAAAAGAGAAGTATGCATTTTTTTCTGTAGCTGTCAACCAAATAACACAATAATGATGTTTTCCACTGCTTACACCATTTCCTGAACATGCTACAACTCGTAATTTCTGTTCAAAGTTCAAACTGGACACATGATCTGTCCATGATGACTTTTGAAATGACTGACTTCTTTGGTCATATGGCACATTTAGATTTCAGCATTAATACAATACAGATACTAACACTATTTGAGTATATATTCAGCAGCTAGAGGCATTGTAGATTAAGCAAAAATACAACTTTATGGGAAAAATAAATTGATTAAATGGTTCAAATAGGTGTTGCTGATATTATTCTATGTAGGTAAAGTCAAAACAACTCATAATCTTACCAAGATGTAGTCATGTGAACATTGCAAGTGAATTAAAATTAATTAAGAAAGCATCCTCACGACATACACTTCATAAATTAAATCAAATTAACATGTAGTTCTTGCTACCACTAACTGTAACTATAGCCACGGTATATTATTGTTTATTTATCATTTTACAGTACCATTGATGCTGCAACTTAGACTTTTCCTCTAAAGTACATCATACAGGTTATCTGCTCTCTAGTAAATGTCCCACATAAATCTTTCTCTTTGTTTCAGCTGGAATGCAAGCCTTTTACGAGGTGAAGTCCTGTGGCAGTGATGTGAGCTCCACTCCAAGTAGTGGGGTGGTTCGCACGTACTACCTGGCTGCAGAAAAGGACGTCTGGGATTATGGACCCTCTGGAAAAGATCTCATCACTAATGTCTCTTTGACTGAATTTGATAGGTAAGAGCTCATTTAATAATATCAAAGTATACAAAAAAATAGAAACATCATGTGAATCTGATGAACTTAAAACTACAGGAGAAATTGCTATATGTGTATTTATAGTATGTATGGATCAGTGCTTCATCAAAACAGGGTAATTTGCAAGGTTATGAAATTGATTCTCTAACTGGCCATAGCATATATTCATTTGCCTTTTTTTACCTGGTGAGACATGAAGTGGTGTCTCCCGCCCACACCCACACACAATAAAAATATTTTTGCCAGTGTACCACCACAAATATTTTTATTTTGAAAGCTTGTAAGATCATAGTTTCCAGAGATTGTGCTATTAGTCAGTGTCTGGACAATTTCACCATTGGTTTGTGGTAAAGCTGAGTTTATTGTAGTGAGAATAAACAGTGGCATGTTTCAATTGTTGCTGTGTTTTCGTCTGGACTAAAGAAAACTTTCTGCTCACTTTTATTATTCAACATGTCAAACCTTTTTTTTTTTTTTTTTATGTTTCAGTCACTCAGAGACTTTCTTTAGCAGAGAAGATGGTAGAATTGGTGGACAGTACATTAAGGTGTTATACAAAGAATACACAGATGACAGCTTTACCACTAAAAAAACACATTCTCCTGAACACAGACATCTGGGAATTCTGGGTAAGCCTGTTATTTTTTATAGTCTGTTTTGAGTTAGCTGGTGCTATGTGCTCATCTTAATGTGTACCTTGGTCCAGGTCCTGTTTTGAGAGCCGAAGAAGGAGACACACTTGAAATTGTATTTAAGAATATGGCTGATAGAAACTACAGCATCCAACCTCACGGACTCCACTATAGCAAACGCTTTCAGGGTGCCAGCTACTTAGATGGTAAAACATACAACTAGAGGTGGGAGATCTATACTGAAAAATACATAATAACTCAGTTGTTGTTCAGGAGCTATGTAAAACTTGAATATTGAGTGTACCGTCTGTAATTATATTATAACAATTAAAAATGACAACAAAAACAGCTGATTAAAAATAAAACAATCAGAAGCATCTAGCATAACCTCCAAAAAAGGGTATAAAGTGATATTTCTGCCCTTTTGTGGTTAATTGCATGGTTTTGTGTGATACTTGAATCCAAACTAAGACATTCACAGGCACGTATTAGCACATGAATATAGTAGATAATTAAAAAAATATATAGAGAGATATTTTTCATAAAAGTTTCAAGGATTGAAAGGAAATATTTAAATTGCCTCTATTACTGATAGAATAGACAATATGGGGGAACAAAAGTTGCAATGTGTTTCTTGTGTAATGAATAAGTGCATTTCTCTTCTGAAGGAGAAGACAAGCCTGGTTCTCATGTTGGTCCAGGGGAGAGCTTCACTTACACTTGGCGGGTTTTGGAAGGTCCCTCAGTGTCAGACCCTTCATGTATCCCATATCTTTACTACTCTGCAACGGACCCACCCAAAGACAGCAACTCTGGGCTAGTGGGTCCTCTGCTTGTGTGCAAGAAAGGCTCCCTGACAGAAAATGGAACAGCGGTGAATTTTTTAAAATTTTATTTTTCCAGTTAAATGTGGTGTAAAAGTGTCTAAACCACCTTCTCCAATTTTTTTTTATTATACAAGATGGAATTTTGTGAAAATTGATGTGACCCTATTTAGATATAAGCCAAATAATGATCAATATGTTAGCTTTTATAGTTTTGTACTTGTTAAAAATATGTTGCATGGAACCTAAGCATCAAGCTATTTGTAAAAGCCTATTCTTAACTGTTTACACTATTTGGTGTGTATACCTCTGACTAATTTGATGTTTTGTATAATTTTTGGCTTACGTAGTGGAGTAGACAAGTTTTGGGTTTGTAACTGTAATTGTTATTTTTTCACAGATGGGTGTGGACAAGGAGTTTTTTTCTCTTTTCTGTTATGGATGAAAACTTGAGCTGGTATTTGGATGAAAATATTGAGCGTTATGGCAACAGCGAGACTAATCGTGAGGATGAGGATTTTCTAGAAAGCAATCAAATGCATGGTAACTTTTATTTTTGTGATTTTAATTTTTAGGGTTAATTTTTGTTGACTGTAATAATGGTATTATTTCATGGACTCTTTTCACACTGCTATACAGTATTGCCTTACATTTCATTTGTAAATTATTATTTAACTGATATTTAATTTTCTATATGATTTGCAGCTGTCAATGGACGGATGTATGGGAACCTGCCTGGCCTGGAGATGTGCACTGGGGACCGGGTCAGGTGGTACACATTTGGCCTGGGCACAGAGGTGGATCTCCATGGAGTTTATTTTGAAGGGAACACTTTTAAGACACAGAGCACTATTCGGGACACTTTGAACCTGTTTCCTCATACTACCACAACTGTCGACATGCAGCCAACCACCCCTGGTAAGTGTAGTCAGGCAAACACATCCACCCACACAATCACAGGACAGACATATTTCATAAATTGTTTGACAGAAGGTTTGCAGATAAGCCTGTGAGACACAACAGGAAACACTCTTACTTGTCAAGGTCAAACCTTATGGTATTTTCATTGACTTTAGACATGTTTATAAGATTTATGAGAACCACTTCAAGAGGGTAGCGCTGGAGCTTGACCTTAAATAACAAGGCAACATACTAGACATATTTGAAAGTATTAAATCAACATTATTAAATCACATTCTTGCCACTATAGCTAAAATAACAAATCAAATAATTACCGTTTTTAATATTTAGTCCCCATGTTTTTTGTTTTTTGTTTTGTTTTGTGTTTCTAAATATAAATTTAGGTTTTACAGGTGATGCCTTAAAATAACTTTGGCTTCAGTTTCCTGTTTAGAGCTGCCATTTAGAATAATTTTGACCATTCAATAGATGGTTCTCTGGTTTGATTGTAAACTGCAATTGCCTAGTTTTTTATCACTGTTAAACCCAGGAATAAGAAATGGAAAAACTTGACCTTCCAGTAGATTCTAAGCAATGTGGCAATAATAGCTCTAGCTATATACATGCATATTACCTCTACTTTGAATATTACAGGTGTTTTTGAAGTGAGCTGCAGAGTAACTGACCACTACTCAGCTGGGATGAGGCAGCAGTATGAAGTCAAACAGTGCAGTGGACACACCTTCAAAACTGCTGAGAATAAACAGAAGAAAACTGTGGAATATTTTATCTCTGCAGAAGAAATAGTGTGGGATTACTCTCCAAAGAGACACTGGGAGCTGGAGAAACATGGCACTGCAAAAAACAGGTGCATAACAACAAGTAGCAGCATTGGGTTGAGTACAAATAGAGTACTTAATAAATTATATTACTCAAGTACAATAAAAAATTCAACTATTTAACATAAATTCAAATTGGATTGCAATCCATCAACCCTTTGGTCAGAAAACAGCCAATTTATCATCTGTTATCACCCTGTATCTTGTTAAATTGTAATTATTGCTATATAACACAATATGAAAGTAGTAGAGTGTAAGTAACTTTCTACCTACTTTTGAGTAGCTTATGTAACAAAACAAAACTGTGTTTATAACTTGTTTGTGTTAATGCATAGTCCTGGTAATACATTTGTGGAACAAGGGACGAACACGATTGGTTCACGCTACAAGAAGGTGGTTTACAGAGAGTACACTGATGAGACTTTTAAGATGAAGAAGGGCAGGTCCCCCAGCCAAAAGCACCTAGAAATACTAGGTGAGAGACATTGATTTTAACTTATACAAATGGTCCACTTATATAAAAACTGCTGCTAAAAAAGTTAAGTGCTAAAATGTTTATGGGTAATCTTTTGTTTTGACTAGGCCCCATTATCAAAGCTGAGGTTGGAGACCAGCTGATAATTACATTCAAGAATAAAGCCAAAAGACCATATTCACTAACAGCACAGGGGATAAGATCAAGTGGGTCCCATGTTCATGTACAACCAGGTAAGAGTCAACACTTCAGAATCAGAAGTAATAAACACTTACCGAGACCCAACAATGGAATGTATAATGAAGGAATCAATAGCAAGCACAAACTCTTAATGATTATTTTAAGTTTATATCCATTACTGTGTATTTCATATCACTTAATATCAAGAAACCATTCACCTATTCTATTTTGTTTCATTCCGCCTATTCTATCCTGAGGGCAGATTTAATGCAAGATGGACTAAATGTCTTGCCCAGGCCACTGCCACTCTGAGTTTGAATGGCGTTGTGTTTCTCTCACAGGGTATGTACTTGAGATGACCTGGGACATTCCTCCAAGTGCTGGTCCTGGAGACTCTGATCCTGATTGTATCACCTATGCCTACTATTCAACTGTAGATTTTATTAAGGTAACTATTAGCATTTATTTATTAAGGCAACTGTTAAACTCACTAAAATCAGTAACATATTCATGACAGAGGGGTTTCAGTGATCATTTAAATAAACTTGAATATGAAGTGAAAGACTTCAATAACCTATGATAAGTAATGTGAAGTTTTAGTTGTACTAGGTGGAAAATGTAACTACAATATACCAAATATTTAATAGCATACTAAGAAACCCACAACTACAGAAATGAGATAAACTAAACCTGCATAATCTTGTGATATTGTGTTTCTTGTTAGGACATGTACAGTGGTCTCCTGGGACCCCTGGTGGTCTGTCGTCCCGGGACACTAACATCAGACAGAAAGATTGTGAATGTGGACAAAGAATTTGCACTTCTGTTTATGGTTCATGATGAAAACCAATCCTGGTACTTGGATGAAAACATCAAAACATACATGGGAATTGACCCTGACCACGTCACCAAAGATGCAGATTTTGAGGAGAGCAACAAGATGCATGGTAAGAGCTTTGAGGACAGGAGAGAGACAGGCATGGATGGGGTTAAAATCCAACTCAAACTGGAATGTTAGATTTACTGATCCTTGTGAGAAAAGAGCACTTCAGAGGGAAAAGCATTTGAGCTGATCCTTAAGCGTTCTACAGAAACATAAACATCAAGGGATCAAGACAAACTAAAAGGTCATATTTATTAACTTTTGCAATTCTACTTACAGGCTACTACTACTATCTACTACATATCACTTTCAGACCATTTTAGTGTGTATTACAGGAATTCATGAGACTTTTACTACTTCATTATATCAGTTACTTTGGAAACTCATAATCCATGTGGTCCACTTTTTGTCATTGTCAGATTTGTTCCAAATCATTTGCTATAGATTAGCTTGTACTGTAATTTGACAATGTAAAAGTACTTTTACCAAACCATTTTTATCATTAATATATATTACATTTTTCACATTTCTACAGAGCTTAAGCATTGTAGACAGTTCCAGACATAGCAATATACTACTCCTAAACTACAAACTATAATAATTGAACTGAATATTGTGCTTATCTAGCTGGCATTGCACTGTATTCTAAAACAGATTTTACATGTTTTTAAAGGGATCAATGGTAAAGTGTTTGGGAACCTCCAGGGCCTGGTGATGACTGAGGGCCAGAGGGTGAACTGGTATCTGCTGGGAATGGGCAATGAGGTGGACATGCACACGGTCCACTTCCACGCTCAGACATTCACATACAGGGTAAACTAAACAAGACAATCATAATGCCTTTTCAGAATGTGAAGCATACATTTAGAAATAATACTGAAACTAACTCAGGAATGAATTTGGACTAAACTTGAATTATTTAAGTCCTAAAGGGTTAAATCACAAAATGTAATTTAAATTGGAACATGACCGAACCAAGTCTACATGAGGACTAAACTGAACTCAATTTCAGACCAAGTCAGGAAAATTGTGCACACACCCATGGTCAGGGCAAAACTCTACAAAAATAGAACAGTTTGATAACCACTGCTGTAATCTATTTGAAGATTTTCCAGACTTTCTTAACTGACAACTTCCTGTTTTATGTACTTTTTGGCCAGACGGACCGTGTGCACCGTGCTGATGTGTTTGATCTCTTCCCGGGGACATTTCAGACAATAGAAATGGTGGTTCATAGCCCAGGCACATGGCTACTGCACTGCCATGTTACTGACCATATACACGCAGGCATGGAGACCACCTATACCATTCAAAGTATTGTTCATCTAATGCAATTTATGTATTATTTACTGGCAGTTGTAAGCTACATGTTATTTAATGTATTTCTCTTTTTCTTACAGAGGTCTCCCCGTATGGTAAGATAAAAACTAAAAAATAAACAATACACCCCATATGTGACCAAAAATACAAATATATAAATAACATTGAGTATTGATGCACAGTTTTACTATAGTGGGCACTGAGAATATGCTGCTACTTTTTTTTAGACATCTGAGATTTGTAATTGTCAGAAAGTAGGTTATGTTTACATTATCTTCATTGACTTATGTTATGTTCCTCTTCTATCTTATCTAGCTTCTGGCACAGGATGCAGTTTGGATGCCTGTGTAACGCTACTGTTTGTGCTCGGACTCCTGAGTTTATCCGTATTTAAATAAGGGAATGCCACAATTAGCGATTATTTATGCACTTAGGCCCAAAGAGTCAAAGGGGCACATGTTGCTTTTTTGGTTATTACAAATATATGTCTATAAAGCCTGAAGATGTTTTTATTTTGTATCTATGAACTGCTGCTTTGGTTTTGTGCATTGTAATGTATTTATATAAAAGAAAATCCAAAAACAAAGAAGGCTATTTGACTGAATATCAAATTGCTGAGTGCAAGTGCAATAAAATTAGTTTTTGTGTTGTAGACTGACTTAAAACACTTTGTCCACACGGGGGCATGATTTTACACCCAATTAGTCAGCGTAATCAGACGCTCTATAATGGATGTGCATAATGTAACAATTCACCAGTTTTTATAATCAGCTGTCCTCATTCTTCGACCACCATGAACAATCGTGGAGTAAAAAGTCATTGCCTAAACATGTATCTATTAAGCAACGTGCTGGATCAATAAATGTTTCGATACTGAGCTGAGATGTCTGCGTTTGTTGTTATGCATTTTATAATTCGCCATCACTATCGTTCACTATCAGGTCGAAACGAGTTGATCAATGCTGGGAATCGGGTTTCCATAACAAACAGGACAGTGTCTACACGATCACAACGCACATTCCCATATGGTGGGAGTTAAGATAGTACCTGTGATGTCTCTGATTGATGCATAGTGATAATAAAGACTATGCCTAAACTGCAGCAACATTCCTCTATAATGTCAGTGCGTCTCACTTTTGACTCAAATGAACTTACAAAGCAGGGCAACAAGTCTTTTCTGTAAACAATCAATACATGGTTGATTTTCACTACCGCACAGTTGAAATCTTATCACTAAGGTAGTTAAAGTTCTCAGGTCCTCAGAAAAAATACCATGTTTTACTACTTTCAATTTACATACCCTTCACAAGTGATTAAATTCCATTGAGAGTTCAAAGCGAGTGATCATTATGCAGTGTTTACGGTTCCATCAGTCTCTTTTAAGTGTCCGTAAGAGCCTTTACTGATGCTATGTTTATCTAGCCGTATGTTATAGCTTCCTATATGTTTGATCTTAATTAACACCTAATCGATGAACACTTCCTGAACCGTTTTATTGACATTCATTAATTATAAGTTAACAGTATCATGCAATAGTGTGAATTGTCAGCAGATGGCGCTATGTTCTCCGTTTGTTAACTCATGGGTGCATAAATGTGGCCCTTTGGCAGAAAAGTGACCATTTACTCACATAAAGAGGAGCCCACGCTGTTGGACGCGGTATTGGAGGTCAGATAACAATTTATTTTATTACAATGTAGGTGCTCTGCTTTTCTGCTGAATTATTGCAGGCTATGTTCTGTCCCAATTTATATGCATTATAATTAACATTGATAAATTCGTTTTTCTTCTGTTTGTGTTAGCAGGCTAATGTTGATGTGTGTTACTGTTTGGTTCGATGCACCACAGAAGTGATGAGTTGCGCTTGGATGAATCTATTTTGATTTGAAGGGGTTATGGGACATAGGCAGTTCAGAGAGGGAGAGAAAGAGGGGAGAGAGCCCCATTTTCAGAGTCCTGTTCAGACCAGTTTGATTTAGGCATCAAAAAACCCTTATATCACCACAGATTCAATTCCCTATTATGTAATTTTCATAATTTCATATTTCAAGGTGAGTTATGAATTGTTAAGATTTTAGAACATGTTTGAAGGTTGGTATTCTTACAAATATGCTGTCAGCTAGTTGGTTATCTTAGGTTCAAAGTTAATCATGTTTATCTCACAAAGCTGAACCTTCCTGTGGTCATGTGACTTGAATGGTAGGTGTAGCTATAAAACCAGTGATTGCTCTTGCTTCCTTCTCTTTGCAGAGGTGACCATACCAGCGTCACCTAGGGGAGGCCTGCACCTACAACCCAAGCCATCAACTTTTTCAATTCATTTGACTGGTCTTGGTTTGAACCATGGCACCTACCCTGACCACAGCATTTGCCAGGCGCTGGTGGATGGCTGTGACTGCTATCATTGAAAACCTGCTGTTCTCTGCTGTGCTGCTGGGATGGGGGTCCCTGCTCATCATGCTCAAGTCTGAGGGCTTCTATTCATATCTTTGCACTGAAGAGGGTAAGTGTTTGTTGACTTTAGCTTTATGGTTTACTTGTCCCCCATCTTCTTCTTGCATGGTAACTCATTACATAACAATGCTGTATTCATTCATTTGTTGTTGTATGTTAAGGGATCACTGGCTATGCCGCTTGTGAATACGAGCTGATAAACAAGTAAAATTATGAATGTAACGTATGTTTTGAATTAATGTGTAGGTATCTGTCTTATACGGTCAGCCTTTTTTCTTATCTGACTGATAATATAAGTGTAGAAACACCAGCTCAGCTCTTTGTAGCACGTGATATGAAACGCAGCCACTGACAGTACCTTTATTACTACCATTATGGATGTTGAAAGTCCACTGATTGATTGTAAGTGATAGAGACTGACAGTAATTGATAGCAAAACTAAAAAACAAAATACATTTTTCAAAAGTATACATATGGTGGTCCATAGTTAGTTCTGCCAATTTAGCAGAAATAAAGTCATAGTCAGCAGGGTTTTGCAGAAGCAGCAGTTTTTTTTTTCCCAGAATAACCTCAGCAACATGTGTCTATCACACTGGATGAGTGTGGACTTAAAGTGAAATATCATCATTTAGATGTAGCACTTTTGGAAAGGTCATACTTGTCAAGAAAAAATGTGTACATTGCTATATATACATTACTTCAGCCACATTTTCTATTTTCTTTGCAAGAAGTGTAAAAAAAAATTGCTCATATTCACCCAAATAATCTTTTTACATATAAGGGTGGGCAATACTGACAAAAATTATCCATGAAAAATATTCCAATAAAAATATTCAGTAAGTATTATGCAAATCCTACACAAATGTGTACCTAAAACATGTTTTTAAATATATTAGTTAAGGTTTTCAAATCGGACAGATCTAGCACAGCGTGGCTACTGCAGTTTCACACATTAATATTTTTACACACAGGAAATCACACCAGCTCTACAAACCTGTCCCTGCCCACCCCATCCACTGATGAGTATGCAGACTACTATATGCTGGTTGATGGTGAGACGGGTGTGGTGGGCTTAGGGGATGGGGTGGAGATGAAGCCTCTACTACCCCCTGATGGCCCTCTGAGAATGAACGGCTGGCTCATATGTAAGGAGCAGGATGAGATGCTCAACTTGGCTTTCACGGTGGGGTCTTTCCTGCTCTCTGCCATAACTCTGCCGCTGGGAATTGTCATGGACAAATATGGGCCACGCAAGCTCAGACTTTTGGGAAGGTAAAGAGAATATCATACAGTAATTTATCATAAGGTAGTGGTAAGCCTGAATAAAGGCTTGGAACTACTTTGGCTGGTTTATATCTAAACAAGCAACAAGAAACCAGTCTAGTCTTAGTGCCATCATCCCTAGCCAAGAAGAGCATTTGGTTAAATTGTTTTCCAAACAACATGCAAACCACTATCAGTACACTACATCATACATACAGGGAAAATATATATATTATAAAACATATTTCCTTATTCCTTGCAGCACCTGCTTTGGTTTGTCCTGTCTAATGATTGCATATGGAGCCTATAATCCAAATGGTAAGTCCACATACTCCATACTATATTCCTTATATTTGCTACAACTATATCTATTTATAGCCACATGCTCCAAACTCACATCAACTCAACGGGAATGAGTAAGGGAAAAAAATCTGAGTTTGAGTATAGAGCTGCATTCAATAGAAACTTAACTAAATAGACTTAATCACTAAAATAGAATATTGTCCCAAGTATCAGATCACCATTGGGTTTATGTTCAGTCCATCTCAGTCTGGCCTCGTTGTCTTATTTACAAAAAGTATAAAATATCTAACATGAGCTGTCCATATGATGTGTTCACCTATAATAAAATTCACCAGAATGACTCCACAAAAGCTCCTTAACCTTTTCAGCTCAGCAGTTCCTCGAGTCTTTTCCTTGGCCTCTCTGTACTTAATGGTGTGTACTAAAATGTGTGTCCTCCGCAGAACTCTCTGTCCTCATCTTCATCGCCCTCACATTTAACGGCTTCGGGGGCATGTGTATGACCTTCACCTCTCTCACAGTAAGTTTGTTTGTCCAGATGTAAATGTCCTACTATCACAAGAACTCCCCTGTTGATTCATTATAGTGTATGTGTAATAACCCTGATGCCCCCTCCCCCTTTGGCCCGGCATTCCTCCCTGTCTCTGATTTGCCGTGTTTTGGCTTTGGCAACACTGAGCTCTGTGTTTTTGAAGACAACAGTTTTAATTAGTTAAATGCATTTTTCAGAAAGGGGCCAACAGAGAAGGGTGCACAGTGTACTTTAGTAAGAGGATATTCAATCACAGATTTGTCCATGAATCCAACCATATGCAACAAATAGCTTGTTCATGGAAAGCATTATACACAGGCCCAACTCATAGCTGCTGTAACGCAATAGCTAGTTTAACAAATGAAATGGAAAAGCCAGAAGGTTAACAACCTATTCTAAAACTATTACATACATACATACAGACAGACATACATACACACAGACATACGTACATGCTTAGGACTCTGAAGCAATTATAATGAAGCTACAATAATTTCAGAACCTGTATTACACAAAACGGACTCTTGTGAGCTTTAAGGCATGTTAGAATATTATGATCTTCTCAAAAACCTTGTGTTTTGTCTCATTCACACATTTCTTCTCCAAAGCTCAAAGTGCTCTGTTCCACCTTGTGATGTCATGTTTTCAAGTTTTCAAGTTAACAGTAAAACCTTCTGTTTAGTAGAGACATCACAAGGTGGAACAGTGTTTTCTGTTTGAGTGAAGAATTGTAGGGTTTGTTTGTGACGAGAAATCAAAAACAAACCCTTTTTGTTGAAATCAACATTTTTAAAATAGCGTAATATGGACCCTTTAATTAACAAATAAGGAGTATCAAGCTGCTTTCTCCATTGTACATGCTAAAACCCATAAATACTGCTTTTTGGAACATAAACAGAAGAGATCAAAGGTCAACCCTATATCATGACTTCTCCTTCACTCCTCTGCTGTTCATCAGAGTATAGTTCCTCCCCAAATCTCTAAACAGTCTAGCCCCGCTCCATGGCAATGCAGTTCTTCGAAAGGGCCTCAGACATCAATCTTCCAATAAAATGTCTTAATTCTAAGCCCCTACTGGCAATATTTCACTCTTTAAACATGGGGGCCTAAATTCTGCATTATATCACCACCAGCAGCCTTAGCATTAGTGTGTTAGTGCTTATGGAAGTTTTAACTCAAGGGGTCCACAGTGTGTGAATAAAAACATGTTTTCCATCTTGGCCTGTGGGCTTGCATTTTCTTGCTGGGTTAATCATTGGCCAGAGCAGTCTCCTTGATCATGACTTTCTGCAGGCCTTTTTCTTTCTAATGCTGTAACTAAACTCTCAGATCACCTTCTGAAGGCTTGGCACTTTCCCAAGCACCACTAATGTGTGTTTTGTGTGATCCCTATTTGACTTCAGTGTACCACATAATAAATACTTAATGTCTTCTTTTGCATGTAAAATACATGTATTTATAAAACATGTGTCGTATCACAACATTACTATGGACACTTCTTTTAGTTGATGTTAATATAATGTGCTGTGTGCATCCACTCTTACTGACCTCTGCAGACCAGAACATCCCAACAGAGCCTTGTCCTTAAATGCCTCCTGACCTAACTAGCCCTTAACTCACAGCTGTATAAAGTCAATGTTTTCAAATTGCATCTGAAATCATTTTCCTTTGTTTGATGTCAAACTGTCTTCACCTTTGATCCCCAAACATTATTTAAGCTGTAAGACCACACCAGTTCTTGTATTTAATGTTAATATTCTTTAATACAAATCTTCTTTTTTTTTCTTCAGCTGCCCAATATGTTTGGGGACCTTCGCTCCACATTTATTGCCCTCATGATTGGTTCTTATGCCTCCTCAGCTGTCACCTTCCCAGGAGTCAAGGTACTAACAACAAACCAGTATGAGGACATCAGTGGCCATACTCAGGTTTATGACTAGTGTTTTGGTGACCACAGGTGATCTATGATTTGAACATATCTTTCATCACCATCTTGGTTGTGTGGGCAGCTTGTGCTGGCCTGGTTTTTCTGAACTGCTTCTTCAACTGGCCCCTTGAGCCCTTTCCTGGACCAGAGGACATGGACTACTCGTGAGTGCCTCATGTTGTGTAGAAGTATATGAGAACTCCATCAATGTACAAGTAGATAGCCAAGCCAAGCTCTATGTTAATGCAGGAGATGCCACAAAATATGTATTTTCATATTCCCTTAGTGTGAAGATTAAGTTCAGTTGGATGGGCTTTGACCACAAAATCACAGGGAAGCAGTTTTATCGCCAAGTGACCACTGTTGGGCGGCGTCTCAGCGTGGGAACAAGCCTGAAGTCTGATGATATGCCCACCAAAGAGGGCCAAAAGCTGTGCCTGTCCACCATGGACCTGGAGATGGACTCTAAGGCACAAGTAGAAAGTAAGAATATAGCTCTGAATCACACCATGGGCTAAAGCTGATGGAGTATATAATAGGGATGTAACGATATACAAATCTCTTAATATGATAGTTCCACTATATGCATCTGACAGTACAATATTCATTACGATATTTTGTGGAGGCTAACAAAATTATGAATATGCTACTTTTTCTTTTTACACTACCTTGACAAGCCATTGGTATTGATATAACACAAATAATTTAAAATTAAAAGTGCTTAACAGTTATTTCTTTATAAAGTCTGCAGTAAAACGGTACAAAGGACCATAAGCCTATTTATCATCTTTTATCATATTTTGCACAATTTCCACTATTTCTTGTTGTAACATTATACATTTTTGATCCTGTGTCTACAGCCCAATCGTTCATGAAGAGTGTGGTCAGCCCCATCTTCCTGCTCAGTGCGGTCACGATGTCAGTCACTCAGCTGCGTCTGCTCTTTTACATGGGAGCCATGAACAGTGTGCTCGAGTCACTCACTGATGACCTCAACACAGGTCAGCAATTTAATCCCCCACAAACACATTTAAGCTAAATTTTTATTTACATGCAGCATTATCTATTTTTTGCTGTTTCAAATCCATAAATTAACGTAAACACTTTACAACAGCTGAACTTACAAAATGTCCATTGACTTTTCAGTTGAAAGAATGGAAGTCGGTAAGATTAGCATGATCTGTAGAACCTTTGGCTTTAGTCACCACTGCTTTATTTTGGCATCTGCAATAACAACAACCTTAAGACCACACAATCATTAACTCAATAGCTTCGCCATTAGAAGTAGTAGTAGAAGTAGCAGTTCTTCAAGTAATGAATTGAATGTATTATTTTCCTGCATAAGGTAAAATACTGTTTCAAGTAGCTTATTTACTATATGTTTCCTAGAAAAGCATATTTAACAACTACCACATTTAAAGTTATCTGTATTAATTTACTGTAATTACATTGTCATCCTTGTGACTTTTGAACAGCTATACCTGTTGATGCATGCAGTTTCCCCAACACACCAACTAATGATTTACTGACCCATTGTACTGTAGTAGTTATTAACAAGTATAAGGTTACTCTAGTCATGTGCTTTAAATGTGCACATCTATGTAACTTTGAGTGGAGGCTTGTCTTCATGGAGATGTTATTGCTTTACTCAGAATGTTCCACAGCATGGTGTTAAAAGTATCTCTTTCTTTTTAGCATTTCAATTACAGGTGTTTAAATATCCTAAAAAGATAAATTCTTATTGTGAGCAAGGTCACCTTGTAATTTGGCCTGGAAGCATCACCAGCTTGTTTCCAATAATATTTGAGTTGTTCTAGGCAGAGGTAAAAAAACTCTATGGTGGCAGACAGTTCAGAAAAGTTACGTAGTGCACCTTTAAATATATCTACAATATTTGAATTTATTTAATCATTTGTCACAGTGAGTTTGTATTCGTCCATCTTTGGCGTGCTGCAGCTGCTCTGTCTGATGACCACACCAGTGATTGGTCAGATTATGGACTGGAAGTTGAAAGAGTGTGATGATGGAGATGGAGAGAAACAGCTCACCAGCACGTAAGTCTTTACCTTTGGGTCTTATTTGCTAAAAATTCTTAGCTTTATTTTGTCGTGATGTTGTGTCCACAGAGGAGAGAAGAAGAAACGCAGAGACAGAAAGACACAGAAAGTGACCAATGCCTTGAGAGCTTTTGTGCTCACAAATTTCCTGCTGGTGGGATTTGGTATTACATGCATCATCCCTAATTTGCACCTTCAGGTAAGTGGTTCAATTATTCACGGATTTCAGATTCCTGCCTGCCTGCCTGACCATTCGAAAGATATAATATTTTGTTTTGCATTGTTAATTACTATGGCAACTGTCCTAGCAGTCCTTAATCATTCTGAAAGCCAGTTATATAGATGAATTGCTGATTTCCTTTTACAACAAGCACATTAAGCCTGAGTAAACAGTGTTAGTGGCATCATTTCAGGAGACTGTACTGCACTGTCCATTTCTGAAGCATTAACCTTTAATCCTGTGTTTACACAGATTGTGTCATTTGTTTTACACACTGTGGTCCGAGGGTTCATTCACTCAGCTGTTGGCGGCCTGTATGCTGCTGTGTAAGTACTATAAAATCATAAAACTACCAATTAAGCCCTACAAACTATAAAAGTCTAGTTTATTCTGTTCTGTCTATTCTCTATGGTAACTACTTTGGGTCAATGGTTTTAATTTTTTAATATAATAATATAATATCTAAATATTAATATGTATCACATTTATTTTTCAAAATTGTATTATCATGACAGGCCTACTGATATAATTTTGAGAAAATGTTTTTTTTAGTTTTTTTCCTTTTTGCGACATGTAAATTTAATATTAAGCCCTAACCTCCGCTTCCTGTGATGCAGGTACCCCTCGTCCCAGTTCGGCAGTCTGACGGGGATGCAGTCTCTGATCAGTGCTGTGTTTGCTCTCCTGCAGCAGCCTCTGTTTTTGGCCATGATGGGACCACTACAGGGAGATCCATTTTGGGTAAGTATGCACACAATTGTTCACTCAAACATGTGTCCAGAGGGCAGGGGTAAATATGGCTTCTTCCTAAAGGTAAACATTGGACTGCTGGTTCTCAGTATGCTGGGATTTCTGCTGCCCCTCTACCTTATCTGCTACAGAAGAGTGCTCAACAAAGAACAAATGGAAAGAGAAGAGAACGCCAAGATCTACATCAAAATCAATGGCTCTGACATCCCAGAAGCATTGGTTTAGTAAACTGAGGAAATCATCAACACATTCACTGACAGAGAGGACACCTTTAGAAGATTTCAAAGATAGATAAATATTATATCTGGATGAGATGTGATTCTCATTCACACATCAAACTGTTGAACCATGACAGAGGAGGAAGACAAGCAGGAGATGAAGAGGCAGTGAGAGGAAAGACTGTGAAAGGAAGAGGTTCTGACCTCTGCAAATCCCCCAAAACCTCTCAGCCTCATTTTCTTCTGCTTTAGTGATGTTATATTATATTTGCTGTATGAGTGGGAATGTTAACACCTCCAGTTATGTATTATAATCCATTATATTAGTTTTTTCTATTTATGTTAGTAAATAATTTGCCATTAAAATTCAAAATAGCTATCTTTATTTTACATGTCTCATATACAGAAGTAAATGCTCCACCAAGAAGTGGTTAGACCTTTTATAGTTTTAGATTTTATATTTTTGAAATATCATTAAATATAATTTAGTTTTATATATTTTCCATCTGGAAGGGGATATAAAACCGTAATTTGTAATCTATTTAGTATTTATTACCTTGTCTTTGCTATTGTATGATATTTATACCATAGCCTACCTCTAGCTGTGCCTAATATGCCTTATGCATAATTTATGTGCAAAGGTGAAGAGTAAGAAGTAGATTTAGATGATATATAGACATTTTCCACCTGCATTTTCCATCAGCACTTTATCCACAGATTTTCAACTCGTCATCATCCCTCCCTAGGATAAATTAATCATTATTTCTAAAGTGTGTGTTGCTGTAGCTTATTTGTATTATCCTTGTTTCTGGACATGGTGCTAAATAAAGATGTTTCACTCATGATTCTGATGCAGGTTTATAAGCACAACAGAAAATGTCACAAATCAGTGTACAAATATTTCGTGCTACAAAATTTAGCCATGAGGTAACAGACTACTGTGAAAAACGTTAACAAGACCTAAGACCTAAGCTTTTCCCTCTCTTCTCTGTAGAGGTCGCTAAACACTATGCTTTAAAGCACACAATCTGTAGGCCCAGATCCAAAATATATGCAAGTAAACCATATATATATATATATATATATATATATATATATATATATATATATATATATATATATATATATATATATATATATATATATATATATATATATATATATATATATATATATATATAAAGGAGCTGTCTCATATAATATGTCTGTATAGTCAGTTACAGTTATATAGCCTACATGGTCAGTTAGGGCTATAATAAAAGATGATAAAAGTGCATGTTCGCCATCTTTTCTGTGCGCCTTCACTCCCCACATTGGTTTAGCAGTCTGCTCGTGTATCTGATACTTGACTCTCGCAGATGGCTATCACTTGACACTCTGCTTTTCGTCACCAAAGAGATGAGAGAGAGAGGTCGATGTACTGTGACCATGAAGAGCTACGGGCAGAACTGCACCAGGTCCAAACAGGTGGCACCAATAACAGAGGTTAAAGGTTTCCTGAGGTCACGTATTAAATCCAACGTGGCTTGCTGTGGTCATGAAAAAAAATCTTTTAAAAAAGCTAAAAGGCCTCCAAAAGAATATAAAACATTCTAAAACTCTACTATGCTCAAGTATGTGACCTTTTGCAATGAGCAGCACAAACAAATGAAGGTTTTTTTAGTTGACCGCAGGTCACTTATTTTACTTGATGGATTTGGAACTAGGGCGAAGGCGCACGCAGTGACAGACATGGGATGGGACATTGGGATAAGCGCTCGGATGCTGGTAGGCAGATGCACTAAAAATACAGCAACAGAACGACATTACATAATTTCAGACACGGTCTCGCGCGCGTGCACGGAGTTGCAATCTCCGGGATGTGGTGCTACAGAGGTTGGATTAGGACCTGCGCCTTTCGTCATCATATCACGTGCGTCTCAGATTTAGTGGACTGTTTAGCGTGAAAATGGTCCTTGGACTTATGCGACTTTTTGCCATTGGTGGTTTTAACAATCAGCGAGAAAGCGTCACGATTTGGAGACTGCGAGTTCCTGTGATTCTCTGGAGATGTGCGGAGTGCAGCTGAAGGGTCTTAAGTAAGCTAGATGACGTAGAAAGCGCCTGTGCCACGAGTGGTGGTCCCCGCATCATTCCCATAGATACTGCCACGGAGAATAACCACGCTTCTACGTCACCGCGACTGGGATGACGCAGAGCTCGCACTGGAGGGAAAACGCTTCATAGATTTTATAGAGGATTCAACTAATTGCCACAACGACAATTAGCCTACCACACGTATGTATCTGGGATGTTTTTATGTTCATTTGTTTGTTTTGCGTTTATGTTTGTGTTGTCTTTTTTATGATATAGTCTTACTATGTAGGTTATTTGGTTTAATTTAAACGAATTGTTAATATCCCTAATAGGATTGTTAAAATGCTAAATCTCAGCACATTTTGAGAACCAAAACTCAGTATAATGGGATGGGCACGTTACAGTAGCCTTGATGAGGTGTGCGTCCTTGCTTTCCTCCGCACAGGCCTCGTTTCTTTCTGCGCGCAACAGCAACGCCTCGCCGCGGCCCCGATCAGGAAGTGAATGTGAAGGAAATAAGCGACCGTGTGGAGGTAGAATGACATAGAGGGAAGAGGTGGAGGAGCAGCGAGCGGTGAAAAGAAGAGAGACTACCGGTGGACCGAGCCTGTTTCGGGGACCTGTACTTCAGCGGTTCCCTCATCTGGGTTATAGGCAATCTACAAAGCTGCTGCACCGCCAAAAATGCTCATAAAGGAATTGTAAGTAGAATTGTATACGCGTGCTGTGAACTCGTTTTAGCGTTGACATTGTGTCCAGCATCTCAGTGCTATATGTTATTACAAGAGTCGCTGTCCCTGGCGAAGTGGTGCTGATCTGTCTTATCCACGGCTCACGCCCGTCATTATTACATTCTAGCGAGAGCGCATCATCTCTCCACTCTGCATCTGAGAGGAGAGGCAGGCTCGAGTTGCATCCGCAGCAGCCGGATAGCATGGCTGGTGGTGCCCTTCACACAGTAGGCACCGCTAGGAAGTCAAAACCTAGGGACGGAATAGAGAGATTACCTCCCTGGATGTAAAATTTAAAAAAATGGTGGCGCAAAGCAAAAGCGAGAGCTTGTGTTTAAGCCCCATCTGGTAGAAAGCTATGCGGCTTCTGTGGCCATGTTATTGATGCGTGCTGAAGGTGAAACGGCTGGTGGTGGTGCTGCGCTCCGGTATTCAAGTCCACAGGAATGGAGCTAGGTCCAGCCATGGGCAGGCACAGTCAAGGTGGGGGATGCACTTGAGATGAATGAATTATAATGTGTCCTATAAAGGAAGTAGGCTATAGGCCCAAACTGCAAAATGTCAATGGAATCAAGGCTGGAATGAAGAGTTTGGAGATTCAAGATGGTTACCTGCTAAATGCATGTTGAATGTAGGTTAGCCACTGTACATGGCTGTGGCTAGCTTCTGGGTTACTTTGCTTCAGGCCTAGAGATTGTCTATAGTCAGCTCATTCTAAATAGTGAGAGATGAATGGTCCATAATATGTGATTGACATACTGTATCACTGTCGAGCAGATGTAGCCTGCCAAATAGAGATAGATGACATGACTGAAGTGCTTTTATATCAGGACCTATTCATTTAGTCTGTAACATGTGAGAGAAAAAGTCATTCTATCAGCATGGAATTATTTGTCATATTTTAAAAAGCCCACTCTCTATGCTCTGGCTATAAGTTTCCATTTGAATGTAAGTACACCAATGGCCTCACCATCCTTTGTAGAGTCTTATTCTAGCAGTGGGTGACTGTAATATAAAAAAAATGTTGCCAATTGTGCCAAGAGTCTCCATAAATAATAGACAAATATCAGTGCATTGCTTTCAGTTGTGGCTCACTTAGCACTATAAATACTAGCACCTAAAAATAGCCTCTGCTCTTGAATACTACATGTATCAGCTGGATTTCCCCAACATGATTTAATCAATAAATGGTCTGGGATGAGGGTGAATGCACAGCCAAAGTGATTAGGGAGAGTTCTCAGCTTTAATTAAACTAACTAGACAATGATTAAGTATTACATTCTGCAGAAAATGTGTACTGATACATTGAAATGCTATTAATTAATTTCACTAATCAAAAAATCAATTTAACGCTAAAGTAGGTCAAGTCTAAAAAAATCACAAATTTAAGCCTATATTATGCAAATATTACTTACTGTACTGGTAGTTTACCACCAGCAACACTGCTACCACTCATTACAGATTGCATTATTACCACTATTATTACTACTTCAAGTACGTACTTGTTAAAGGGACCTAGATCCTGGTCCACTTATTGTGTGCTGGACTGACATTTGGGTGTCTGCCGTCACAGGTGTCCATAGATGTGAGAGCATATACAGTACAAAGAGTTTGGATGAAAAGACGAGTGGAGTAGTGTCAAGATGGAATTTGTGTCCCTGAATGTAACTAAAATACATGCACTTCTCACATTTGAAATTTACAGACACTACATACATTATACATTATACATTTAATGTCTGCTATTTGGTGCCTGTCCTCAAAAGAAGAGATGAGAGCATTGTGTGGGAGGTGAAGGATTATGTGAATTTGAGTGTTCCGTGTAAGAGCTGTTTTATCAGAGAGAAAATTATACAAACACTTCAATATATCAATCAAATTAATGTATTTATCCAAAATACCAAATGCACCTCTGTTTATCAATACCTTGTTTGTGAAATGAAAATGTAATGAGTATCAACGCAGTAGTATGCTTTCCTGATTTATAGTCCCATAAATGCATATCAATAATGTACGCAACAACAAAATTACTATAACAAAAATGCCTGAAAGTAGCATTGTAAAAAAAGTACAGTTCACACCATCTCAGTGTAGTTGGATCGACAAATTCACCAATGGCATGTGTCTGAAGCCCATGAATAGTAGGACACACTGTTCTAGTAACAATGCTATCACGCCAAAGTAACTTCTTTTTATTCTCTTTCAGTCGAGTGATTCTTCCCATATCTGTGGAAGAGGTAAGCCCACATTTTATTGTATTTCTGCTCCTGTTGATATATTCATGTATGTTTCTCTTTCAGTGTGTTGTCAGTTGCCATCTTCTGTCACTGATTGTACAGTATTAAGAACGCAGAAGGAGTGAGAGCTTCAGGGGGTTTTCTTAGTTAAAAGGCCAGAACAGGTGCTCCTCAAGGACAAGACTGAAAGGCTAACAAACAGTGCAGATGGCTATGCTTGTAGTATAAAAACTTACTGTGATATCCACCCTGACAAAGACACTACCTGTGTTGAAACATGTGGGCCTGTCCCATATAACCAATAAAGGACTTTTCTACTCAATCGCAGTAAGTTTTTACACTTCAAGAATGGCCATCTTTACTGATTGTAGCGTGATATGTGCAATTTAAATTTTAGAGCTTGTGAATATTGTTTTCATTGAGGAAAAACTCCACTGAGCATTTTTAAATTTTGATTAAACTATAATAATAATAATAAATTGCATGCATACTTATGGTGCAGTGCTGATCATAGCCAGAGTTAGTGTCACTACGAGACTTAAGACATGAGCAGAGTAGAGGGACTGTGATGTGACCCACAGAAAAGGCCTGCAGACAGTTGAGTAATGGTGGCTGTCAGGGGAAGTACATAGACTCCTCTGCCCTTGAATTCATAGCCCTCCAGACTAGTACAACTATATATGGAATTTCAGTACATCAGGGTGTCTCATGTTGTGATAAGTGGACTATACTAGTGATATAGGGGCTTATTCCAGTGATTTTCTGTAATCTTTGGAAAACTGCTGCTTTGCTTGACTTTGCATAGCTGCATTTTGCTCTTTAGTTCTGGTTATTCATTTAGGTTTAGCTTGGTTGAGGAGAATATTAGATATATTGGATGTGTAATATATTTTTGAGATTTTGCTGTTTCCTACTTTTTTACCTGCAGTTGCTTTGCTTTTTCTAACATAATATCGTTGTAATTTTGCCATGTCTAAGGGGGTTGAAAGACCTTTGTAATTCAGAGAAAAGTCAGAATGTCAAGTGTTTTGAGGGCATGTCCTAACCCTGGATAGTAACCAATGTACAGATGACATTAAACTGCAGCAGCATAATAAAAATACTAAATAGGATTTTTGAAAGAAAATGTTTAGAAAGATCTATTCATTTTAAACTATCTTCATAACTTACTGTAAAATAGGTGAAAAAGCCATGTTTTTATAATAGCCACAAAAATAAGGGTTGTTATACAGTCACATAGTGGTGATAGTTGCTGAGTAAGACTATTGTGGCAACTTTGAATTGACTATTTGCACCAGAAGTGTTTAAAATAAAAGTGTGTGACATTTGTTTATATTTTGTGTTACAGTATCAGGTGGGCCAGCTGTACTCGGTAGCTGAAGCCAGTAAGAACGAGACAGGAGGAGGAGAGGGAGTGGAGGTGTTAAAAAACGAGCCCTATGAGAAAGATGGAGAGAAGGGACAGTACACACACAAAATATATCATTTGCAGAGGTAAGCATCATGTTCTTTTATTATTACTGCAGTTTTGGGTATATTATCAACATCACATTTTGGGTTGGAGCAAAGGCTGCAATCATTTAAATAGAATGTCCTCTGCAAAGAACAAAAAACTTTCTTGTGACTAGGTTAGACTGTGACAAACATGTTCTGAAAAGCATATTGTAGTAGTAGTTTATCAGTTAACATTTCAATTTTCTCTCAAATGTTAGTGTTCCTTTATTTGTTCCTTTCTTATGATGCTGTAAAAGAGCACATTCCAAATGTATGTCTAATGTACATGCAAGCATATTTTCATGTTATTTTTATTCAGTAAAGTGCCATCATTTGTCCGAATGTTGGCTCCTGCGTCGGCTCTCAACATCCACGAGAAAGCATGGAACGCATACCCTTACTGTCGCACAGGTAAACAAACCCCACTGCACTTGTTTGTTATTTACAGTAACTATTATTGATTTTATTCACAAGCATTAGCTTATGATTTAATAATGCTGTTCTGGATATGTTAAGCAAAGTCCATTAGCAAATTAATAGTGTAGAAATATTTACTCTGACTTTTGAATTGACTGAAAAAACACATGTACAATACTGACAAGCTGATGAAGCTTGATCACACATTTCTCCATCTCCAAGGAGCTCTCTATCTTTCTTTCCTCTCTCTCTCTCTCTCTCTATCCCTCTATTGCCCTCTCTTTTCTCTCTTGCTCTCACTGTCACCTTGAAGGAGTGTTTGAATAATTTAGTGACTCCAGTGAGAAGAGGCATGCATCACTCGAGACTTCACCTCGGGATCACACAGTGTCAGCTGCCAAACACAGACAGGACACATTATCTAATCTTTAAAATGCACCATTGTAGCAAATACTATTGTATCAGCCACTTCTATTTGTAGATTTCTAATAATTTTTCTAATGTTAATCCCATGTTTCATGTTTCTAGTCCTTATAGTAAAACCATATTTCTCTTCTTTTCACGCCACAACACGAATCTACAGTCATCACTGTAAGTTTATATTTTATGTTAAAAACAACAATCATTTGTTTATTATTTCACTTAATTATTTCAAATAACACTGACAAGTCAAAATAAGCTAAAGGTGGAGATAGAAACTTTTGTATTGTTAGTTTAAAGTTATCTCACTTTTTTGTCCTCTTCCAACAGAATGAGTACATGAAAGATAACTTCCTGATCAAAATTGAGACGTGGCATAAACCTGACATGGGACACCTTGAAAATGTGAGTGGTTTAAAAATATATATAAATTCAATGCTGTACATCTTTTACTATTTTGTCATTGTCTTGTTGTTATACATCCATTCAAACAACCTGATTTTAAAAAAAAAAAAAGTATGCACAAAATTCTATACATATTTCGTGTATATATATATATATATATATATATATATATATATATATATATATATATATATATATATATATATATATATATATATATATATATATACACACACACACACACACACACACACACACACACCACACACACACACATATATATATAAAAGATAAGGCTGGATTAGGGGGTGTTTCCTGATTGGTCAGTGCTTTCCATAGTAGGACTGAATAAGACTAGACAAAGATAGAGAGCAGAGATTAAAGCATTATTTAAACATGCAGTAATAAAACAAACTACAACACTAGAATAATATGCTCACATTTTTTTCATTCTAATGTTATTGTTGTTCGTATACCTAATTTGGATTGTGGACTGCAAACACTAAAATGACTCTTTACCTCTCTGGTAATCTGTGTGTTCATCTTGTATTATGTCTGTGATCAGGTGCATGGGCTTGACCCCGAGACCTGGAAGAAGGTTGATGTAGTCTATATTGATATTGCAGACAGAAGTCAAGTAGAACCTAAGGTGGGCATTTTAAACCGTCAATGCCTGTGTCACTCTGAACATGTGAGTCATACCATTGTCTTCCTCCAGGATTACAAGCCAGACGAGGATCCTTGCAGGTTCAAATCAGTGAAGACAGGAAGAGGTCCTCTAGGCCCAGACTGGAAGGTAAAGAGGGTGTTAACGTTACTGTTTCAACTTAACAGTGTGTGAAAACACTTTTGTACAAAGGGCTGGTGCAAGAAAAACATGTATGTTTTTATCTCTGCAGAAAGAGCTTCCCAACAAGAAAGACTGCCCACACATGTGTGCCTACAAACTGGTCACTGTCAAATTCAAATGGTGGGGCCTGCAAAACAAGGTGGAGAACTTTATTCAAAAGGTTTGTAAATCAGTAAAATATAAATCTTGTTTTTGTTATTATCATCACCTGGTTGCACTATTTCCCAAAACACATAAAACATAAAGCACTTAAAAGCATCATATCAATGAACAGGGATATGTGTTTCCACCAGCATCTAGTGGACAAAATCTATAATGCAAGTGAGGCTCATCTACTTCATCAACACTTAAAAGAAGGGAAATTAGTTAAGAGTGGAATTTAATTAAATCCCTATATTTGACTTTTGGATTTTTGATTTCACTTCCCCCTGGCTGAATTTTTTATTTATTTTTTTGTCACTGGATGATATATGTGTAAATTTAACTGTGTAATCCTAATGTTCTCCCTTCAGCAAGAGAAGCGTTTGTTCACTAACTTCCACCGTCAGCTGTTTTGCTGGATCGACCACTGGATTGAGTTGACAATGGAAGACATCAGGCGCATGGAGGAGGACACACGCAAGGAGTTAGACGAGGTCAGTTCATGCAGTGAGACAGTAGCATTGATATATATATATATATATATATATATTTTATTTTTTTCAAATGTATAACAGCTTTTCTATATGGTCCAGATGAGAGTTAAAGACCCAGTGAAAGGCATGGTGGCACTAGAGGACTGAGGTTGTGTTCAACTGTGAATGCTGCTGCTCATCAGGTATGAAAGTAATTTGGAAACAATTTAAAGTGTTTGAAGTGGTTTTCTTTTTTTAATGTGGTATGTTGTTTTTACTTTGGACTTTGAGTCATAAAGCAATATGATAATGATAATAGTGATTATGCTAAATATTCACAAAAAGACAAAAAACAGACAACAGTTTTTAACTTTTTATTAAAGGTGCACAGTGTAACTTTTTGGATGGGGGGTTCATCACCTGCTTGTTTCTATGGATATGTCATGGCTCTGCCTGGGATTTTCCACTGTATCACATTAAACAGCTCTGCATTTATTACATTACTTACATTTATTTATTTGCAGGTGGATTTACTGCAAATGCCTGAAAAACAGGCATTCTGACAGCGAGTGGGGTAGCCTCTCCACAGATCTGGCCTGTAACTTGGTCTGGTTGGGTCTCCATGATGATAGAAATGTTTAATGGTCCATGGAGATACCATATTGTTTCACAGTATGGTATATTGAGAAAAGATAGATTAGATAGATAGAAAGCATTTGACAGAAAAAAACATTTGATGGACTCTCCAACAGAAAAGTTACACAATGCACCATTAACTTTAAATGTTTCATTTCATTGTTCTATTACCAGTTGTAAGAATATTGAATATACTTTGCATATAAAATAATATATAAAATCTAAGTAATCTAAGTATATATAAATCTGTAAATATGGATTATCTTGTAATCTGCAGACAAGTACACCCAGACACCAGCGGATTCACATCCCTCTGTTCAGACAGCGTGCAGTGGTCTGGCCCCACCCCTCCTCTCCTGGGATCATCAGGTTTTCAGGAATTCTGGACCTAGTAAAATCCTGTTTCAATGATGATATTTTCCTCCTCTCTTCTCATTCACTTCATTTAGTTTTTGTTTATATTTTTCTTTCATCTGTCTGTGTGGTTTTCTGAGACCTCCAGTAGCAACACAATTAATTCAACTCTCAACAAAAATAGGTTTTATTTCTGACAAAGATATACTGTTGGTGTATATACTGGGAATAACTGTATTAAAATATATACTATATATAAATATATATAACAGGGTTTTTAAAAACAGTTTTGTCTGTAGTTTTAACTGTGAGTGTTTCTTTTCAAATTGTATTTCCTCAGTGCTGCGTTTTAAAGTTGTGATTTTTTATGTCTGTTTATTTGTTCTTGTTATGCCTCTCTGGAGTGTTTCCTTTTGTTGTCTGAAATCCATTTTTAAATCTAAAAGTGATGCTGTCTGGTTGAGAAAGCTAGTTGTCTCTCTTCTCCTTTTCAAAGCTATTGAGGCATTGGTTTTGTTTCTCTGCTTTGTGGATTAGTGTGTGTGTGTGTATAAATGTGACTTTAGCACCTGTTGCTTTGGCCTTTTTTGTATTTTTCCTCCTTGAGGTTTATTTACATTAAACAAGTCTTGACAGGATGCTGCTTACGATGATCAAAGAAATGTACTAATCAGGCATAACATTAGCCACTAGCACTAATGACTTGGTAATTGCTGTTAAAGAAGAAAACTTTGGATAGTGTGTTGCATGGGGCAAGAAGGCAAACCTCCAGTAGACAAACACCAGCTTAAAGTTAGCAGCCTTTATCTCTGGTTATGACAAGTGTTTGAACGCACAGCACATTGTTGTTAGCTGTGTACTGACCTTGCATACAATATAATACACTAATAAAAGACAAGTGGTCTCAATGACATGCCTGATGAGTGTACACTGACTCAGAGACCTGGCAATAGGATTTAGTGCACAACCACAACATAAGAGCTATTTATTACTTCCTCCTCCCACTGCTCATTAAGAAATACAGCTGCCATCTCCAATTATGGACCAAGCTTGTCTTTGTCACTGCAGAGACTGAGTAGGAGGGAGAAGCGTTAGGATGATTCCAAGGTCCCTCGATTGACCTCAATTTTGACCTAAAGGAACAAAAATTATGTGCTTTGTATCATGCCCTGCTAGCCATGCTCACCCACTGTGGATAATACCGTTATCCAGTGATAGCAATAAATACCATTTATTTCTGCGAATGTTGTGAACCAGAGCTCAAGCTTGAGATTGAGTTGTTTATGATTTGTTAGTTGCGATTTGTTTGTTGAGATGTTTCTTGGTGTATGCATGGGTGATGTAAAGTTGTGTGTTTTGTGATCATTAGTGGAATTGGAAAGAATGGCTGAAGCTAAATGAGCACTGTCAGCACTACACTTCAACCCTTTCTGTACGCCAGCTTTCACGTCATTTTGGTTATGATTTTAAAGAGGATGCAACACAATACAAAGACTACAACCTACAGGGGTACAGGGGGCAAACCCAAATTGCCCCTGTAGGTTTTGTTTATAGTTTTATAAAGACCCCAGTGGACTACTAAAATCTGAAGTGTAATTGTGTAGAAGAATTAAAGTAGAGTAAAGTAGTAGATAATAAAATAAAGTAGAAGATAGTTAAGCACAAAAGCAAAGGGGCCTTGTTACTTAGTTACTTTTACATCCAGCACAACTGTCCATCAATTGCTTCTACGTCAGATGTGGCCTGGAAAATCTTGGCCTGGAAATGTTTGGAGCATTTTTTCTATCTTGCATTCTCTTCAAAATCACCTTGTTTTTTTTTGTTTTTTTAAATGATTACCCCTTACACTTGTACTGTCTGTGATGGGGCTACAAACTGAACCATGGAGATTTATGGATGTACTGTATGTATTGACATTGTAAATAGCAAATCAACTTAAGTAGATGAACACACTTATATATAGATGACTATCCTGCCAAACAATCGCTTACACACACATTCACAACGTTGAGTCCTTGTCAGACAGTAGGATCATTGATAAGAATTCAGCATTCTACAGCTACAGTGTCATTTCTGCAGAGTTGGGTGGGAGGATGCTCCAGTAATGCAATAACAAGCTTAATTTGCTAAACCAGAAATATTTAAGCAACCACCGCAGCTAGTCCAAAGTCCCTGGCTTATCATATGTCATTGGTAGGACAGTGTATAGATATATATTTTTGTTCTAAATGTTGTACCTCTTGTTGTCTCCTAAATACAATGACTTCTATCACATTCAAGTCGCAGTAACAGTACAATGGCAGCCTCCCTCATTTACTGTGGCACCATAGCATTTTTTTGTTCAAATACAAATGTGGAAACTAACTAGCACTTCATTAAAAGTGCTCTAAGGAGGGTCTGTCAACTGCTAGTCTTAATGGTAGTGCTATATTCTCCTGAGGTTGTAACATATATATATATATATATATATATATATATATATATATATATATATATATATTCTTCTCCGTGATGATAGATATGTTTATTGTCATACTGTGGAGCATTCAGGCAAAGCTCAAAACTATAATATCTCCATGGATCCATGGAGACAAGCTGTTGGCAGGCCCTTGACCAGAACAGTTTTTAAATGCACATTTAAGGAGAGGTATTGTATTATAGTGATCCACCATATGATCTGAAATAGTACTGAATTTCCATTAACATCTTTCAAGTTATTTATCGAATGGTGCTGCTGTAATTGGTCCATATAATTCAATAGCATATCAAACCTGTAAAGGAAAAGATGGTTGATTCCAGGTGCATTTTAAACACCTGGGGATATCTGCCTTTACACAAAAATTAGACAATGTGGTTAAGACAATCTCACACATACAGTGTTAGATTGTGCTTGTTTCTAATGCAAATATTAAACCAAAATCTCTCTTCTCTCTATATCTTCCACCTGTTAAATTGTCTCCTGCTTTTCTTTCTTTTATTGTGAATTTGTGCCTTTTTGTCATCCTATCTTCCAATAACACTACTGTACATTGGAGATGTAAAGAAACAAATAAAGACAAGTAAAATGTGTTTGGCTGCAACATGTTTTTCCTACTGTAAACAACTTTATTCTTAGAAACCAAGAAATACTAAATATCTAAATTGACCAAAAGCTATTTAAAGAGATACATAACTTAAACTGTTGTAGATAAGGCCCCCATGTGGATAGTGCTCATGTGGTCAAATTGAGAGTCCTCTTAAAAAGAGGCTACATTAATCAGACTCTGGATGCAAAGATTACTCTAAATCCTGATTACAAGCCAGACAGACACCAGACCTTCACTTCATAACACAAGGCTCCCAGATTCAACCTTCAGAACTACAAACAAGCAGTTTCACAGGGGACTGAATGGCAACAACACAATAATGAAGCATATTGCAGGTATTATAAACTATAAACTACGTTTATACCTTTTACTACATAGGCTTATAAATGTTAAAATAGCCTAGACAAAATACAAAATAGAATCCTTCTACATTCTTGGTTGCATTTTGTGTGCGTGCGTGCGTGCGTGTAGCTTTGTGTGTGAGTAGATTTGTCTTTAAACTTTATACGTGAGTAATTGTATGTTTACAGTTCACCTCATTTGTCCCGTGCAACCCGTCCATGTTTTGAGCTCCGTATGCTCATAATCATAAGCGTAATTATGCATCGCCTATGTAGCAAAGGAAAAGGATTATTTATATACAAAGGGAGCTTTGGTGCAACAAATGCCATGCGTCACGGTGACATAAAATAAACAGACATGACCATTCATGGAGCAGATAATACGGTCCGGCCGCCTGTGAACCGACCTGGGATAAGGCCGCGTGATCCAATGTTCCGCTTAAAGTCCTGAGCAGGTTGTGAGCGCAGGGCCCTGGAGACAGAGCACTACGAGAGAGAGTCCAGCACTCCCCGGTTAAACAACGGGACTCACCGCCGGAAAACGCCTCCAGCCACTCGACTCCCAGTCGGAGAACTTTGTGATCTGCCAGCACGGGGTCTGCGGCTTCTTCCGGACGCCACAACAGAGACACACACCCACAGGTAGGAACGAGGTGGCGGGAAACGAGGCAGGTGCATGACTGATCCAAAGAAGAAGTTAGACTAATTTAAAACTTGCCAATTTTTGTAAAAATGCGAACCCCAGTTGTATAGTCTACTACAGCTACATTTCACATTAAAGTTACACTATGTAGGCCAACTCTTCTGATCAAGGGTCTGCCACCTGCTTCTCTCCGTAGAGCAGTTATTAATGTGTCAGGAAGGTTTCACTAAAATGGATTTAAACTTTCAACAAGGTCAAGTTACATGTATCTTACAAGTAACTCAAGCAAAACAAATAAAAAAAAAAAACATGCCATAAGCATACAGGAAGGTGAGTATTTCATGTAAGGAGAATAGAAGAGGAAATAAATTAGTTACTAATAAAACTTTAAAAACAAAGTGGTACCCATGTGAAATGTGCAGAAGATAGGTAAGGATGTAAGGCAAGGCAAGTTTATTTGTATAGCACAGTTTGTACGCAGAGTAATTCAACTTGCTTTACAGAATAAGAACATTACATTACATTCACGATACATACATTCCAATCACTATACAAACAAATCAAAATAGAAATAATCATCATAATATGAGAGAGAGAGAGAGACATTACATAAGAGAGTGCAGAATGAAAGATGTAGACTACTACAGCCCAGTTTGTCAAATTTCATTAAATGTTTAATTGTTTCCCATTTCAAAAAAGAGGACGCTGATGAAAACGAGTCCTTCACTCTCATTGGGCCGTTCCCTGTATACATAAAGATGAAATGTAAAATTACAATCTTACCACTGTTGAGATCTGAAATATATTTTGTCTAGAGCAATTTTAAGATCTAGGGCCTGCTTGATAATGTATTCTGTATTTATTTTAAGAAATTTGTGAGCTAAAGTGAGTTTCTTATCATTTCAAATTAAAAAAGGGTATTGATTATGTCATGTATTTTGTTTAAAGGCGAGATAATGAGCACTGGAAGAACTCAAAATGTCAGGGGGGACGAATGCAGGTAAGAAGCCTCTTAGAAATTTGTGCAAGCTAATCGCACCATTGTGAAATCAAAATGACGCAATCCTAAGGAGCTTTTTGGTTATGTGATCTGGTCTGCAGCACTCATAAAACAAAAATAGTTTCCTTTTCTTCATTTCTCACTGGAGCGGTGACCCCTTAGGTGATCCACTTAGCACCTCTGGTTTCTGAAGAATGTGCCCTAAGTCCTTCCATGTGACAGTGTTACATGAACTGAAAATGGGACACATTCATTTGAGTTTTTCCATTTTCATTTGACATTTCACAAATTAACATTCTCTGATAATCTCTCATAATCTGATCTGAATAATCAGACACTCCTGTAGCAGTATGTCATTTGGGAGTTTGAACTGGAAGAATACAGTGGATATTTGATACAGTTAAAGGCACTGGAGTGAAACAGAAAGAACAAGAACAAAAAGAACAAAAATCTAAACAAAAAATGTAATCAATCATTGGCATTTGCCATCTCACACAGCACTGTTGCATGGATTACATAAAATAATCTTGTTAAATGGGTGAAGTAAATTGCAACCATTTTTAAATAACAATATTATGCAATTTACATTTACAACAGCAAACACATTTACTAAAAATAGTCTGGAAAGTACAATTACTCAAAAATAAATAAACACAAGCATCTAAAGCTTTTTATAACCTGCAACTGAATGTGAAGATTGGTATTGCTGGTGAGATTTCCAACAAAATATTACTTCTTTAATCAACTACTACAAAAATAGTGCAAAACCTTTTGTATTATGAACCAAGAAAAGTGTTTTCAAAGATATTCTCCCAATATAAACTTATTATGAATGTGGACTTGCTGAATGATGTAACACAGGCATGTGGAAAAGTGTAGAGACAACCTCAACATGGTTTCCCACACGTAACCTTTCACCCAAATGAGGTGAAATGGATTGAGGCCAAAAGAAGCTAATGCTATTGTGCTTTGCTCACTAATGCACGGCTGTTATTATGAATGCTTTGTTCACAATCAGCTGATGCCTGTGTAAACCTCTTAGAGATTTCAACACAAGCGATGCAAAAATTCACTCATTGCTAAACACATACATACCCATTCACATGTCTGTCTCCTGCTTAAGATTACACTGCAAATTGAACCCCTTGTTCTAAGTGGACCCCAGTGCTGTGCCAAACTCTGCTGCATGGTTGCATGAGTGCACAAGATCACATTATCCCAGCACGGAGCGGAGCAACAAATACTTTCCTAGGATTCCGAAACTTTAACATTTGGATTTTGGAGTAATGTTTTTTTTAACGGCAAAAGTTTAAAGTGGATGTTTCTCTTGTGGATGACACGAAGTTTCTGAAAGTTTGGAAAATGGAAAACCTGGGTGATTTTGGTCGTGTGCGGTCGGACAGCACTAGCAGCTCAGGCTCCAGGTCAAAGATGTTGCTGCGTCAGAGAGTGTCCCAGCTGCTCACCTGTATAGAGGACATGAGCTCAGACGATGAGGCCAGTGAAGAGATGTCCCGCTCACTGGACGAGGTCTTTCAGCTGTGCGGCCGCTTCATGCCCACTGACGCTTTCAGGTTTGCACACAGAAAACACAAGACAAGGCAGGAAGGTTTGGAATAAAGGAGGTTTTGGAACATTACATTTTTTACTTTTTAGAAGAAATATAAAATTGAATATGTATTAGTGTGATCTAAAATCCTGATAGTAATACTTCACATATGTCTAAGTTAATTTTATTCATTCATTCGTTTTATATTTTGAAAATGTGTATGTGGATGTTAATGTGATTGATAATTTTATTGTAATTGTGGTGATTTTGTAATCATGTTGAAATTATTTATATTGAATGTGTGCTTGTATGTGTGCGTGTGCGTGTGTGTGTGTCAGATTGTACATGGTAACGTGGAATGTGGGCACAGCTGAGCCTCCTGAAGATGTCAGTGCTCTGCTGCAACTGGACAACCAACCCCAGAATGACATATATGTTATTGGGTGAGTTACCACAACTTAAGGTTATTAAACTCTTCTTTAGTTTGTTAGTTTGCTGGTACAAGTAATCTGTGTATGTGCTTCAGTCTGCAGGAAGTGAATGCCACTCCGATCAGGTTCATCTCTGACCTGATCGCTGAGGACTCGTGGAGCCATGTTTTTATGGACACACTGGGACCACGTGGGTTTGTCAAGGTGTGAAACTATTTGTATCTTATATACTACAAAGTGGTAACAAAATCCTTGAACAAAACAAAAGTAGAATATTTAGAAAAACATTTTTATCTTTTTTATCTGCCCTTGTTTACTTTTAACACAAATGATGTCAAAACACAGCTAGGGTATTAATACAGCTGTATGCCATGTACATAAATGTGTGAATTTCATAAAGTGTATAAAATCGTGTTTTGTTGTCCAGGTAACATCAGTGCGGATGCAGGGCCTGTTGCTTTTGGTCTTTGCCAAACATGTCCATCTCCCGTTCATCCGAAATATCCAGAGCACTTACACCAGGACTGGGATCTTTGGATACTGGGTAAAAAATGTCTTTTCAAATCTCTTGGGAACCTCTTCAGCCTTAGATGCTGCGGTGGAGTAAAGACATGAATGTGTTGAATGGGCCTTTGTTTTTATCTAGTGGTATGAATAGCAGCTTAGATACAATGCATGACAGACAATAGGAATACAGGGGTAAAACTAGTTCAGCTCAGGGTAAATACTTACAGAAACAAATGAATGAATTAGCACTGCACATTCAGTAAAGAATGAAGGAAACCAGCAGAGTCTTTATTGTAGGTAGTATGGTTGGTTTAGACTTTTAGAAGAAGGTATTGCTATGCAAATAGCATTTGGCAGGGCCCTAAAGTTGTCTTAAGATATGTAAAGTACAATTTTTCTTTTTCAAATGTGCACTTTTTGTTAAAACAAACACAACATAATTACCTTCCTAGAACATAAAATTTGCAATGTATGTATGTTTGTCTTTAACATATTGTTAAAAAGGCTAAAGATAAAAGCCCAGTGTCTCCAAAAATGTGCAGTGTTCTCTACCTTCATTTCACTTTTGCATTCTATTGCATTTGCATAGATTTCACTGTTATTTGTCTTTGATATGTTTCAGGGCAATAAAGGTGGTGTATCTGTGCGGTTCTCTCTTTATGGTCACATGGTGTGCTTCCTTAACTGTCACCTGGCAGCTCACATGAATTACGCCCTGCAGAGGGTCGACGAGATTGAGTACATCCTGGACACTCAAGACTTTGACATCACTGACACACCGCATGTACTGGATCACAAGTAGGATCTTTCCCCATGTTTGGAATATGCAAATATCTTTTTTCTATAACAAAAACAATAATGTTCGATAACTTTCGTGGTGTGAAACTTTTCTTTATTTTAAATTTTTCTTTGGTTAAAGTGTATATTTTCTGTCTGCCCAAGAGTAACACAATCAAAAGTTTAATGTAGCGGTCCCCAGAGTTGCACTACAGAAAAATAGTGTTTATTTATTTTCAGTCAACTGTTTTCCTCCATTTTCCCAGAAATATGTCACATGGGCCATTTGTGATTTAAGATTACTCTTTAATTGGAAATATATTTAATAACCAGCCTTCCATTCCTGTCTTCCAGAGTGGTGTTTTGGTTTGGGGATCTAAACTTTCGTATTGCTGACCATGGGCTGCACTTCCTCCGTTCCTCCATTGAAGGCGGGCGCTTGAATCTGCTCTGGAGCAAAGACCAGGTTTGGCACAGAGTTACCTGCAGTTTTTGCATAACTTCAGTTTAACTTTCATTTGCTGAATTTACATTCATATGAATGTTACTGCAGCTCACAATGATGAAAAAGAAAGAGCCATTTCTACAAGAGTTTGAAGAAGGACCTCTAAATTTCCAACCCACTTACAAGTTCAAGCGCAACTCTGACACTTATGATACCAGGTACACAAAGCAATTAACATATATTTTATTACCACCATGTTATTGTCATCACATAAATAAAACGAATTATCTTTATTTCCATTATAACCTTTAACAGCTGCCTGAAGACATGGTTTGGCTTTAAGTAAGGCATGTTGTTTGTTTCACTTTGCCTTCTTGTCTGTGCATGACCCCTCACAGCATCCTCACCTAGAAGATTAGACTGAGAATAGTTCCTTAATTAGGCTGAGTGTGGTATGTAAGTGACGGGAGACTGTGTGTCTCTCAGAAAGAGCACATGGGCGCTGCCTCTAACCATGTACAGACCGCGGCCCCTGCAGCGTGGTAGTACCACCCTCCTCCTCCTCCTAACCTCCCTGTGCTGGGGGCTGCTCTCTGTCTGGTTGGGAGCCTGGTACAGAGAACTAGACCCACCAAGGTGGGTGTCTTTGGAGGTGCGCCCTGAACAAACAGCCTTGGATCTAGCTTCATATTTCATAGGCGATAAAAGATTAGTTAAACATTTGTGGTAATGAACTATAGAAGTACTTAACATTTTGTTCTGTCACAACAGCAACAGTAAGCATGTTTAGAGTTATTATCTCACCAATACCATAAAAATTCTACACGTCAGTCACTTTTACTAGCATGTGTTTCACCTCACAGCATGTTTGCATGGCTAACTGCACTGTAAAGCCACTTGTGTGTTCATTCATTATAGACTGCAATTTAACATGCACTAAATAAACATTCTCTGTTCTTTGCGTTCACTTTGACATCATTGTAACTGAAAATATCATCCGATGTTTTACTATAACATAAACCATATTGTTAAAGTGCACTAAAACTTAAGAGTGAGAAGTTCACTTCAAACCAGTGGTTGAAAACATATGTCAGAGATATTTATAAAAAATGCAGAAAGACTAAATTATTTTTTTATATCCTAGTGGTAAGAAAAGGAAGCCTGCCTGGACTGACCGGGTATTGTGGCGCATCAAACCCAGAAGCCCTCCACCAGAGGAAGATGATGAAAGAGCAAGCACGTCTACTGACGAAGGACCAGACGAGTACCCCATCCTGGTCACTCAGGACAGATACACCTGTGATATGAGTTACGGAGTCAGTGACCACAAACCAGTCATTGCTACTTTCAATGTGGAGGTGAAAAGAAAATTCTAAAGCCTAATAAATGCTTTTGGGGTAGATATGGCCACTATCCATCTTGACTTGATTTTTACTTTGATTATACTTTTTTTTTTCCTATTGGTGTTTTAATACCTAGTATTAATATTAGTATTAATTTACCTAATATAGTAATACCTTTTTTTTTTTTTATCAATGAGAGAAATTATTATCTTATATTAGCCTATATTTGGGTTACACTACATTTAAAGCCAAACAAGGTCACAATGAGCAACATGTCAAGACCTTATTTCTATTTAAATTTTCCCCCCACAGCTCAGAAAGCACTTTGACACTCCACTAGTGCATGTCTCTGCGGAGGGCGTGTGGAGCGCAGACCAGGACGCAGTACTGAGTTACACAGTCCAGGATGAGTTCATGTCCTCCACGTGGGACTGGATTGGACTTTTCAAGGTACCACTGCTTAAAGTAGTGTCAAAGTGATGAACTATGTACAAATGATATATTTATTTATATTTTTAGGTTGGGTTTAAAAGTGCCATGGATTATGAGACTTTTGTTTGGGTTCGTGAGAATGAGTTGCCTGAAGTTGATGAACTCATTCAGGTAAGATGCTCTTAAATGTCCCTGACCCATGCATTACTGATGTATACTGAGAATGTCTGTTTGGGTGCAGCTCCCTGTGGACAAAGATACAATTCCTCTTCTTGGCGGGCGGTATGTGTTAGGCTACTACAGTACAAACATGCAAACCATTGTTGGCCTCAGTGAGACCTTCCAGGTGAGTTACAATAGTAAATGTTTTGACACATTCCTTCTTTTAATAATAACAAACACAACATTTATCTATTTACTTTTTCAGATTTTGGAATCAAAGCGAGCAGTCATGGAAGGCCTTGTTCCTGAAAATGCCAATGGCCTTAAATAAACAGAAACATGTGCCAATGGTTCTTCAATTCAAAATGTTGCAGTAATTATTCTACAGTAACAGATGATCAAATCCATCCACTGGTTTGGATGACCCAGCCATAAGTCTGTTAAACACCTTTTTGTGCCGTTAAAAGTTTTCCTTTACTATATGCCATATCTATCTGTTCTAATTGTTAAGTTTAACAGGATTACAGGATGTGACATCCAAAGAATACACAGTTCACAAATGCTCTCCAAAACAATTATACCAGGTGGCAGTAGAAAAAGTCACCACCAAAACTTAATTGCATCAAATAAGAAAATGTTGATACTGAATACTGATAAAATAAAATGCCTTGAACACACCTGTCCTGTACTGTATGTTTGTTTTGTTGGCTTTCCAGATTATAATATTAGTTCTTACTTAGATTGGGAAAAAATACATTATATGCATAAGGGAAAAGGGTATGCTACTGCGATTGGCAGGATACAGGTACATTTGAGATTTTGTAGGCCTTCATGTAATATACAGATAAATGTATCTGAAGACAATATAAACAGATTGGATAAGGATAATGTGTAAGATTTTACTTTTTATTATCAAAATTATGGCATTTACAGATAAAGATAATATGACAGAAGAAATATGTGAAAATGTTTTTTGTTTTTTTTTTTGTTTTTTCACAAAACGTATAGAGAATTTATTTATAGATTATGAAACGTGAACAAAGATGTTTAAGAACAAGCATTTGCTGATAAACCATTTAGCCGTGGAACTGTGCAGTTCCATGAGTTGTAGCCTATTTATATATTTATTTAATAATAAATCTTGTAATACGCATGATGCTGACATAGTTCACAACATCCGTCTGCCATGTGCTGGAAAACGGAGCTCTGATTTGGCAACCCGAGTTGAGAGGCGTTTCTTCCGCTACATAGACGCACACGTGGGAACGTCAACCAGCTCTGCTAAGCTAAAGGTGAGTTCTGGGTGAATTATATGGAATCCGTTATATTTATTAATATTAAACAATAAACATCTGTTGGTTTAAAAACGCGTGTAAGTATCGGCTAAACCGATAGAAAATGAACTGTCTTTGTTGAACGGTAACAGACCGTTGGACCGTAGGAGATCGGATTTGGGCTAGCATATTTGCCACAAATTATAGATACGGTGGGTTACATGTGTATTGAGCTGCTGTGTTTGAGAGTATTTCTTTTTGATCCGCTCTAACCTTCCCTCGTGTATATGTGTGGCTTCACAGCAAAACAGCGCAACATTTAAATAAGTTTGGTGGTATCTTTACGTTAACAAAGCTCTGCATACCATATGTTGATTTTGATTGGACATGTCATGTACATTTGTTGCATGATTGTCGTTCAGATTATTGAGCATTATGTCGACTGAGGACGTGGAGCGCCTTCTGATCCAATTTCAGAATGAGGAAGGAGAGGTGCTGGGTTCACCCTTCGATGTGCCTCTGGACATCACCCCAGACAAATTACAGCTGGTCTGCAATGCTCTGCTGCAACAGGTCAGTAATTTTCTAATAAGAGTTTGTGTCGTTTCCCCCTGTCAGTGACGGTATGTCATGTAGCCTACGAATAATACGAGTGTAATTGAGTATTTAGAGAATCCATTAAAAAGGTGTGATCCAAATATAACATGAAAAATATATTTACGTTGCAGGATGATCCAGTACCACTGGCGTTCTTTGTGCGTGGTGAGGCAGAGGTGGTGTCTTCCTTAAGGTCATGTGTGAAAGCATTAGGGGTTGAGACCGAGCAGGTTCTTCCGGTGGTGTACCAACCTCAGGCAGTGTTCAGGGTCCGTGCTGTGGCACGTTGCACCAGCACTTTGCAGGGGCACACCGAGGCGGTCATCTCCACTGCTTTCAGTCCAACCGGCAAGTGAGTACCACTTTTTATGCATATAAACCTTTCCAAACTAGCATTTTATAACTTGGATCTTTTATACATTTCTTATCTGTGCATTTTCCCAGATATTTAGCCAGTGGATCAGGTGATACTACAGTTCGTTTTTGGGACTTGATGACAGAGACACCTCATCATACTGCAAGAGGTATTAGGAAAAATGTTTTGTTAATATACAAAATTAATTTATAATTAAATTGTTATAATATAGATTATTATTATTATTTATTTTATAAATAATTAATTTATTTGTTAAATGATTTGCTCTGTAATTTGCCTTTTGTTTAGGTCATACACATTGGGTTCTTAGCATTGCTTGGTCGCCTGATGGCAAGAAGTTGGCATCAGGATGCAAGAACAGTCAGGTGAATTTTGCTATTGTGCTTAGCGTTGTTATTAATTGCTTTGGATCAATTTCTGTTTATTAATACATCTTCTGTGCTTGATAATAGATTTTTCTGTGGGATCCAGTGACTGGCTCACAGGTTGGAAAAACATTAATTGGACACACCAAATGGATCACTTGGATTTCCTGGGAACCATTACACCTGTAAGCAACTTTCCTTGTTGATATTGGTAATTTTCAAGGGTGCTGGAACAGCATAATTATCAGTAGTATGCAGGTGTTGTGTGAGAGTACACACAATTTTTTTTTAGCACTGAAAAAAGAAGAAGAAAATGTAATTTGTAAATGCATTACATTTCTTGATACCAGTGACTTGACCATATCTTCTTCCAGTAACCCAGAATGCCGGTTCTTGGCCAGTAGCTCTAAAGATGGCTCAGTGCGTATTTGGGACACAGTACTGGGGCGCTGTGAGAAGATTTTAACTGGACACACACAATCAGTCACTTGTGTAAAATGGGGAGGGGATGGACTTCTGTATACATCTTCCCAGGACAGGACTATCAAAGTTTGGAGAGCTAAAGATGTAAGTAGTGTTGCACAGCAATGATTAATTTACCTCTCATTCATCCAAAGGACAATGCTATTCTGGTGTTTGATAATTAGCTGCTTTGGTGCGGTAATGATGATGATGTAACGGTGTGGTTATGTCACACTATTTTGTAACTTGTACAATATCGATACTTTGCTGAAAAACTCAGATTTTAATAATAGTGTTTTGACATCATTGGCGTAACCTATTTTTTGTTGATTGAACTTTTTATGAATGAATGGTACATGGGATGTATTTGAGATGCAGTTCCTAATATGTTAATCCATATTTTCCTGATAAACATGTATCTGTCTATTTTGTCTATGAATACCAGGGTGTCCAATGCAGGACTCTTCAGGGTCATGCTCATTGGGTCAACACTTTGGCTCTCAGCACAGACTACGTTCTTCGCACTGGAGCTTTTGAACCTGCAACAGCCACCATCAACCCTCAAGACCTCAAAGGCTCATGTGAGTATCTATCTGTAGAAATAGTGCTCTAAATTTTTATTTAGATGTATTTATTTTAAATTTTTTCTTATTTGCTACATTTTGTCTTTTAGTGGACGAATTGAAGGAAAAAGCCCTTGAGAGATATAATAAAGTTAGGGTATGTGCGTTGTTGTCTGTGTGTACTTCTGATTATATTGATGCATTATTGCCTAACTTTTTGCTTTTGTAGGGAAACACTCCAGAGCGTCTAGTGTCTGGTTCAGATGACTTCACCCTCTTTCTATGGAACCCTGCAGAGGACAAAAAGCCTCTAGCCCGGATGACTGGCCACAGCGCACTCATCAATGAAGTCCTTTTCTCTCCAGACACAAGACTTGTAGCCTCTGCTTCTTTTGACAAGTCTATTAAAATTTGGGATGGGCGTACAGGAAAGTAAGTCTCCAAAAACAAATTCTGTGAATATGCTTGTCATACCATTGCTGTCCAGCAGATGGCATTGTAAGTGTGACCATATAAATTGCCCACAGGTACCTTATGTCCCTGCGTGGCCATGTTGGATCTGTTTATCAGGTGGCATGGTCTGCTGACAGTAGGCTGCTCGTCAGTGGAAGCAGTGATAGCACACTTAAAGTTTGGGACATGAAAACTGGGAAACTCAATATGGACCTTCCAGGCCACGCTGATGAGGTGAGTGTTTAAGACATGCATCTGAATGTATTAATATGCTCTTGACACCCTTTATTTGAATGCAGGTTTATGCAGTGGACTGGAGTCCTGATGGTCAAAGAGTAGCCAGTGGAGGGAAAGACAAATGTCTTCGGATGTAAGTGTTATTTATTTATTTCTCTCTGAACATTTTGACGTTTAATTTAACTTCACATTCTTTTAGATGGAGGAGGTAGTGCCCATCCCTACTTGACCTTCCGAGTGAAAATGAAAGGCTGGACCAAATCTGAATCCTGGTGCAGTGACACTGACCATTCACAGCCGAGACAGCTGCGCACTGTCAACACAGTGAAAGACATTTATTAACATTATTAACATGATCAATGGAGATCATGCTGGTATATGTACAGTATTACACTGTATGAGAAGAGGATGTCAAACTCTATTCATTAGGGTCATGACCCACTTTTTAAAATAAGGTAGTATACTAACGTAAATATTCATTTGGCAAAGGGCAGTGTTCCACACTGACCACTGACCATCCCGCATCACCTAGAGCCTTCATAGATGAATGAGTGCATTGCGTAGGTAACAGGTGGGAGTGCTAATACTGCCTGCTGTTAAACCCTGCAGTCCTTCCCACTGTTCATCTTTTAATCTGTTCTGTGCTATAGTCTACAGACCTTCAACAAGCAGAGCCCAAATGCTAATGGACTCCAAACATGAGTAAAACATCAAGGCTATTGAAAGTTTTTATAAAATGTATGCAATTTCTGTTGATTTTCATGTTTTTATTTTGGCATGTTGGCATATATAACATAATGTAACTAATCTCATGTAAATTAATATAAACTCCTGTCTACCAACAACACACTATAATTCACACATTTATAAAAGCAGCAGTTGAAAAACTTAACATGGCAAAGTAGTTGAATTGTGCCGTAGTTGACTACATATAACCAGATCAGACAATGGGAGTGGGCTAACTTGGCAGGGTGAAATCAAGATGCAGATTGTGCTACTATTGTACTAATAAAACATGGTAAACATAGAAGTCTGAAGTGACTTGGAACACATTCTGATTAGCTAGAGCTTGTAATAGATCACTTCATCACATCAGTGCAATTGGAGAAATTCATGTATAACAGTTAAGTGCCACATTAAAACCATGCAGCAATTATAGCAGCCATGAAACATACAATGAAGAGCATCTAATGTTCATCAACACAGCCACAGCACGGATACTGTAAATGCTACCGTGATGACACCACATGCATATAAGCACAGATGTGTTCATGTACTGAGAGAAGAGCATGTTGGACAGAAAAAGCAACAGAGTAGTCCAGTAGTCTTAGAGTTAATGGCATTGAGTAGGCATTTAGTAATAAAGGTAATAAGAACAGTCAGAAAAGTATTTTTTGAACTTCCATTGCCTTCAGCATCCTCTCGTCCTTTGGTAAAAACAGTTTTGAACATTAGACTATGTTTGGTTTTGTATCCACTACCTCGGTCCGTATCTTTATTTTTTTTCTGCCAAAGTACCAGGTTCATCATCATAATAGGGATGAATAGCTAAGGTTTACTGTCTTTTCAAATCATGTTTATGGGCTCTTGCTGCATCTGTGACTTGTTAAATATGGTCATTTGTCCCTTTTGGGCATCTATAGAGGTGCTGAGTTGTACGAGGCACTGCTTCCCTCACTGTGTGCTTGGTTTACTGTTGGGTCTTCCAGACATTGTTGAGTAGTTTGACAACCTCTTCATAAATGACAAATACTATGGCCACATCCAGGCACACACGACCCAGCCTTGGCACTGTCCCCTTGTAGAAGCTGAAGAGCAAACCATCATAAGTTAAGTGGTTTACACACAGCAGTCCATTTGATGGTTATTAGAACTTACGCCTGTGGCCCTTCATGCTTCATGATTTGGAAGGCACAGTCAAATGTATTTTTGTATCTATGTGCTTCCAAACCCTGCAAAGAAACATACCATTTAAATAAAAGATAATAAAGTAATAAAATAGACTACGTTAAATAACTGACAATTGCTATAATAAAAAATATACCTGCATTCTTGTCTTCACTACATCTAGAGGAGTGTTTCCAAAAACACTGACTGCTCCAGCTGTTGCTCCAAACATTGCAGTGACTATAGGGTGCATTTCTTTTCTGGGATCATCACCTAAAATTTGATACACAGAAGGAATGTAAGTACACATATTCATAAAATACTAACATAACAAAAAAGAATAGTTTACCTTTGTACCAGTTACGCAAAGAAGTCATCACATAAAATCGTATAGCCTGATTTGTTCCTTGCTTAAGCACAGTTGCAGTTAGACCTTGATACGTACCTCTTACTCCTAAACCACAACCAGATACAACTTTATTAAAAACAGTCATTAAGAATTGTTAACATTATAATATACACAGTTAACTTACCTTGCTCTCTTATAATTTCACTAACTCCATGGAAAAATCCTCTGTATCGAGGTCTAAGCGAGCACTGATCATGGATTAACTTCACCTAAATAAGTGAAAATATTTATGATTTCTAGCCGTGCATTAAATTCATGTGAATGGAAAACACAGTATGGAAAACTACTGACCTTGAGTGTCTCCATCGGGCAAACCACTAAAATGGCCTCTGCTATGCCTGCTCCTAACCCACACACAAGACTTCTTGTGTTATCCAAACGACCCGTGGAGTCACGCATAGGGTTACTGAGCATCTCAAATGTGCCAAATCTGTTTAAACAGAAAGACTAGTAAGGACTGCAAAGAAATCAGGCTTTAATACTAATCAAATTAATTACTCACAAAAAGTACTAAAAAATACTATAAAATAACACTAAAACAGAACTCTCATAAAAAATACAAATTCATTCATAGTAATTGAGTTGCGTCATGTAGTCTACTTCCATCTTTCCATTTGGCATGACATTATATTATTAGTTATTATTTAAAGGAGAATTGGGTGACCACCTGACTGCAGACTTGGGTATTGATCCATAAAGTAAAGAGCTGAGCCCTCGATACAACCCTCTGAGCCCATGGTCCTGCACGGTCAGCTTCACACAGTCGCCTGCATCCAGAAACAGGACCATTTGTAATCACGCTGTATGGCCAAATTATATACCACAGGGCAATCTATCTCTGCCCTCCTCAGACTCACCAATGCCCCTGTACCGAGGTGGGTTGGCTCTCTCATCCAGCTGCAGCTGGGTCTTCACGTATTCTGTGGGGAATGTGATGCAGATTTCTATTGCCCCAGCAAGGCCACCTGAGAAACATATGGCATAAGTATAACATTAAGCCTCTAGGCCTACATGATATGTATGATTTAAGACTATGATTTAATTAGCAATAACAAGTCTGTAATAAGTCTGTAATAATGTAAGTGTAAGTGTATGATGGGCAGAATAGGCTAATGCATGGTGCCGTGGGTGTGCCATGATTTTATGTATGAAATGCAGGCTAATCAGCTTATCATGTAGCCTATAGCCTAAAGTCAGGAGTCAATACAAAACCATTTACTTTTAATATGTATTTTGGAAACCAATCAACTGGCAGTGCGACATGGAACAGCATGGCATGACTTTACATCTCGCTGCTTGTAGTGGCCCATGTCTGCTGGCTCAGTGCGTTTGTTTTGACCCACTTCCACACTGATACCATTAATGGGAGACAGACCGAGATTAGTGTGCGAGACCAAGCAACGCGCTAACTTCTGACGTAAATATGAGACTTGTGTGAAAACAGGATGCTACCTGCAAGGATGGCCTTTCCAGGATGTGTAATTTTCCTCCCACCGACAGCAGCGGCAGCCAGGTTTCTTCTAGCCGCGTATGAGCGCTGGTAGAGCGGCAGAGAGCCCAGCCCCGTAGCAGCAGCCAGCAGCTGAGACGGAGGATGATGAAACGGAGGATGTTCAGTTGCATCACCGCCATCCTTGTGCGGATCTTTAAACGAAAACGGTTTAAAAAGCGACGACATCTCGCTTCAAAGGCGAAAACCCCCAGACAATAACAGACAAGGCAACAAACAGACGCTACAATGTGGCTGCCGCGGGAGCAGCGTGAAGGGACCATCAATATTCAAATAGTGGTCAGCTGACGAGCCGCGCCATTGGCTCTTCACAACACCTCATAATGCTTTATGTTGTCACGTGACAAGGCATGACCCCCTAACAACCAACAACATTGGTGGATGAGGCCGTTTTACCACCCTAAGGAGGGTTGATAAATCAATAGGACTAGAATGAATACTATTGGCATTCCACCGTACCTGACTCAGTAGTCCAGCATCCTGGACCACGAGCACTAAACACACAGATAGGCCTAAGCCAATGCATAGCATACAAAAGGTACACACAAATGGTAGGCTTAAACCATTTAATATGATCTTTCCTTTCAAAAGACAATACATTTTCTGTTGTTATTGTTGTCTTATTTATTTATTTTTTATTTTTATTTATTCTTTTTTTTTTTTTTTTTTTTTTTTTTTTTTTAAGTCGGCAGATTTCTAAATTCATTCGAACTGCTTGTGCGTTGCCCATACCAGAGCACTAATTTGACCCTTGAAAGAATCTAGGTCAGTGACTCCACAACCACCCTCACAATCCCAGAAGAGGCATAGTAATAGAAGGATGTCATGCTCTATTGTTTTTGTTTTTTTTTTTTTTTTAATAGCTTGAGTTGCAGGGACATCAGGGCTGCTACATAGACTTGACCACAGCAGAAATGTTCATCTCATCGGGACGGAGAATGTGGCTAACCTTCATCAGGGTCCTCAAAGGTGGTTGTGGAAATTATAAACTGGAAAAGAGACACAAGAGATATTGTAGGGTGGAAACATTATATGTTCATAATGAAGGACTTGATATACAGTCCATTTTCAACTATATAAAATGTTTCATTCATACAGTTACATTTTCTCTCTAAATAAAGGCTAGGCTATTCAAATTTGGGTCTTAGATGAGTAAAACTCTTAGATGAGTAAAACTCACCATTATTAAAATTCCAAGCTGAGTTCATACCCTAAGGATGTGATTGGAGCACAAACTCCTCTGATTCTCACAGCCCTTAACCAGCTCCATCAGCTCATTGTTAATGACCTCTTTCCAGTTGTTGCAGGTCCAGATGTAGACACTGCAAGTTTTACCAGAAGACATCCACACTGAATCAAATGAAGAAGATACATTTCTTCAAACTGCTATAGAGTATATAAGAGGTAAAATAAGCAATGTATTTCTCAAATAGATGTCTCTTGTACAGCATAAGATGCTAGATACACAGATCATATTCTAAATCTAAACAAAAGATTAAAACTTTATATTTATTGATCATTAGGTTGTGGCTCAAAGATTCCGGGGGGAGGCCGGAGATATGGAGTCCGAGTGGGCTTCATTCTCGGCCTCTATTGTCAATGCAGCTGCTCGGAGCTGTGGGCGTAAGGTCTGTGGTGCCTGTCGCGGCGGCAACCCCAGAACCCGGTGGTGGACACCGGAAGTAAGGGATGCTGTCAAGCTGAAGAAGGAGTCCTATCGGGCCTTGCTGGCTCGGGGGACTCCTGAGGCAGCTGACGGGTACCGGCGGGCCAAGCGTGCTGCAGCCCGTGTGGTCGCGGAGGCAAAAACTCGGAGCTGGGAGGAGTTCGGGGAGGCCATGGAGGAGGACTATCGGACGGCCTCAAAGAGATTCTGGCAAACCGTCCGGCGCCTCAGGAGGGGAAAGCAGTTCTTCACCAACACTGTTTACAGTGCGGGGGGAGAGCTGCTGACCTCGACTGGGGACGTTGTCCGGCGGTGGAAGGAATACTTTGAGGATCTCCTCAATCCCACCGCCACGTCTTCCGAGGAGGAGGCCGAGGCTGGGGACCCAGAGGCGGACTCATCCATCACCCTGGCTGAAGTCACTGGTGGTTGGCAAGCTCCTTGGTGGCAAGGCTCCGGGGTTGGATGAGATCCGTCCTGAGTATCTTAAGTCTCTGGATGTTGTGGGGCTGTCTTGGCTGACACGCCTCTTCAACATCGCGTGGCGGTCGGGGACAGTACCTCTGGACTGGCAAACCGGGGTGGTGGTCCCTCTGTATATAAGAAGGGGGACCGGAGGGTGTGTTCCAACTATAGGGGGATCACACTTCTCAGCCTTCCCGGTAAGGTCTATGCCAGGGTACTGGAGAGGAGAATCCGGCCGATAGTCGAACCTCGGATTCAGGAGGAGCAGTGTGGTTTTCGTCCTGGCCGTGGAACACTGGACCAGCTCTACACTCTCCATAGGGTGCTCCAGGGTTCATGGGAGTTTGCCCAACCAGTCCACATGTGTTTTGTGGATCTGGAGAAGGCATTCGACCGTGTCCCTCGTGGTGTCCTGTGGGGGGTGCTCTGGGAGTATGGGGTCCGGGGCCCTTTGCTAAGGGCTGTCCGGTCCCTGTATGACCGGAGCAGGAGCTGTGTTCGCATTGCCAGCAGTAAGTCAGACCTGTTCCCGGTGCATGTTGGACTCCGCCAGGGCTGCCCTTTGTCACCGGTTCTGTTCATTGTGTTTATGGACAGAATTTCTAGGCGCAGTCAGGGGCCGGAGGGGGTCCGGTTCGGGGACCACAGGATTTCATCTCTGCTGTTTGCGGACGATGTTGTCCTGTTGGCTTCATTGAACCAGGACCTGCAATGTGCACTGGGGCGGTTTGCAGCCGAGTGTGAAGCGGCTGGGATGAAGATCAGCTCTTCCAAGTCCGAGGCCATGGTTCTCGACCGGAAAAAAGGTGGCTTGCCCTCTCCGGGTGGGTGGGGAGTCTTTGCCTCATGTGGAGGAGTTCAAGTATCTCGGGGTCTTGTTCACGAGTGAGGGAAGGACGGAACGTGAGATTGACAGGCGGATCGGTGCAGCTTCGGCAGTGATGCGGTCGCTGTATCGGACCGTTGTGGTGAAGAGGGAGCTGAGCCGTAAGACGAAGCTCTCGATTTACCGGTCAGTCTTCGTTCCTACTCTCACCTATGGTCATGAGCTCTGGGTAGTGACCGAAAGGACGAGATCGCGGATACAAGCGCTCGAAATGAGTTTCCTCCGCAGGGTGGCTGGGCGCTCCCTTAGAGATAGGGTGAGGAGCTCAGTCACACGGGAGGAGCTCGGAGTAGAGCCGCTGCTCCTCCACGTCGAGAGGAGCCAGTTGAGGTGGCTCGGGCATCTGTTCCGGATGCCTCCTGGGCGCCTCCCTCGGGAGGTGTTCCGGGCATGTCCCGCCGGGAGGAGGCCCCGGGGAAGACCCAGGACACGCTGGAGGGACTATGTCTCTCGGCTGGCCTGGGAACGCCTCGGGGTCCCCCCGGAGGAGCTGGAGGATGTGTCTGGGGTGAAGGAAGTCTGGGAGTCCCTGCTTAGGCTGCTCCCCCCGCGACCCGGCCCCGGATAAGCGGACGAAAATGGATGGATGGATAGGTTGTGGCTGGTCTGCAGAATGAGGCTCGTTTCCTTCCTGCTCATGAGTTAACTTGTACACAATTGAACCTACTTATAGTTTATTTTACATGCTATTTTAAAAGTTGTATACTTTATTGTATAAAATATTTTATTGTACCAGGTTTGAGATTAGATTTTTAAATAAAGATCTCCTCTATATATAAAAATAACCTCATATTCTCACTAAAGGTTTAAAAGTGATCGCTGACACAGCAGTAGTCCAGGCTCTGCTTCTTCAGGGCTCTCAGCTGCTGCATGACCTCAGGCAGAGAGGGGTTTCAGTAAACTGGGATGTGCCATTGAAGTAATGCTCCAAGTTAATTGTGTTGTTTTACATTTAAAAATTAATTTAATTACAAACTGTTTTTCAAGTCTTAGGCAACAATCTCTTTCCCCCATAAAATGAAAAAGTATTCTATATAACTGAAATAATGTAACTATATTAGCAAAATAGTGTATTTGTTTCATCGCAACACATTAAGAAATAACACATTTAAACATGAGGGATAATAATACAAAACTAAATCCAATTAATGGTTTATTTCTTTGCTGCCCTCAGCTCTTCAAACAGCAGACACTTGGCCTGTGCAGAGGAAAGACAACAGTCTGATAAGCACACTTAGAGCACAGTGTTATGCATCTATATTTAGGCCTTATGTGAAGTGAGTGCCAACCTCATGCCAGCGAAGTGTGTCAGCTGGAAGCCCCAAATGGCAGTGGGGGCAGGTGTGAGTGGGATAGGGAATTTCTTGGTTTCTCTGCCCCCAGCACGGCCCCTCGCTGTCCCACAGAGGGTGTCCTGGAGCATGGGACGACCAGGCCACCCCGAAGTGCGGCCTGGGATCGGTCTGGTACATAACCCGCTGATTACCACTAGAGGGCACTGCAGATGAGGAATCAGATTCTTCCTAAAAATGAGGGAGACAGATTTTGTTAGTATGAACTTAACTTAACTTAGCACATAATTACATTCATTGAGATAATACATATCATTTTCCCAAATACAATTGTGATTGTTAAATAATATTATTATTGAATTAGTATTTTGTCAATACTAAATGTACAGAATGTCAGCACTTTCTAAAGCTTTAAAGGAACAGTAAGATTTAAATGATAAATTCCATAAACATGACCTATGTTTATGGAATTCATAATTAAAAGCTGCGTTCCCATTTATGAGGGAGAGATGTTCAAATTAAATATAGTTTTTGCTGATAACAATTGTACTGATGATTTATTCTTAATTATAAAAACACTGGACATGATGTATGTGTTATAAGTAGGTGTTTTCAAGATGATCTAATCAGAAAAGCAGAATGAACTTCACATGAGTCTCTCATCTGGGTTAACAGTTTCAAGACTGAAATAATGTTGGTTAAAACATAAATACTACACGCTTTTTGCAGGTTTTATTAAGTAAGCACCACCTACCTATCTACAATATACCTGAGATTGCTTAGATTTAGATTGTCATTTTTAGATTGTCATTTTTACTTATATAATCCTGTTTCTTACTTGTCTGATGTTTTTATGTAGATGTTTGTCAGTTTAATATTTGTAATTTTACAAATACAAAAAGTGCAGTTTGGGAGAGCAGATGTTGGCTGGGATTTTATACTTCGACAACCAGACGGCCCAGACAGA